TTTACGTCCACATGCACACAGGCTGGAGGCCTCATTGGTGCCCTTCTGGAAGCTGCACCCAGGACAAAAAAACCCAGCTAGAACCATAGCTGTCAACTTTTGGATTTGAAAATAAGGGATCAGCAGCCTCGAAAATAAGGGATCAGCAGCCTCTCCTGTCCCAGGGACAGTCTATGGGATATCTCAGTGTTTTTCAACCACTGTTCCGCGGCACACTAGTGTGCCGCAAGATGTTGCCTGGTGTGCCGTGGGAAAAATTGAAAAATTCGAAAGATTTAAAAATAAAGTATTTTATAATTTTTCACATTTCTGTTTACTTACTATTTCATAATAAAGTAATTATAAAATACTTTCTTTGTGTTTATTTGATTCCTATTCAAGAGAATTACTTTATATATAGTCAATATAGGCACAGAGTTAAATTTTTTAACATTTTCTAATGGTGGTGTGCCTTGTGATTTTTTTTCATGAAACAAGTGTGCCTTTGCCCAAAAAAGGTTGAAAAAACACTGGGATATCTAACAATCCAGGATAGCAGCGGGAAGCAGCGCTGGAATAAGGGAATTTCCAGCAAAAAAGGGAAGGTTGACAGCTATGGCTAGAAGCCCCCCACCCCCCGTAGCTACCTGGAAAAAGGAACATGGCTCCTTTTTTCCATCTGGGCATTCTTATTATCTCTTACACCAGGAATGTGGAACCTTTGCTGCCTGCCATGGGCATAGCCAGGATTTATGTTGGGTGGGGAGAGAACAAAGCTCTCTGGGCTGCAATTGTTCAGTTAAGTTTAGGGTTTTGAAATTTATTTACTTGATTTAGTGTGGGGAGCAGCTGCGCCCCCTCCCCACGCCCCAGATGTTGATGGACTACAACTCCCATCATCCCTAGCAAGCATGGCCAAAGACGAGGGCTGATGGGAGTTGTAGTCCAGCAAATATCGAGCGAGCCAAAGTTTTCCCGATTGAAATTGTCCCCTCGTCCCTCCCAGCTATTTACTCCACTGAGGGAGGAAAAACAACACTGAAGCTTGGGAGGGACGAGGGCAGCAAATTAGATCTGTAAGAAAAGTTTAGGATGAAGGAAGGCTCGCATATTATCTACCAACCTCTGGGCATTAAGAGCCCAGCTGCAAATGTCAGCTGGGAAGTTGGCAGCAGCAGCCCTGAGGTTTACGATCGAGATGGAGTGTAATATATAAAATGGGGGGAAGTTCAGGTGGAGAAGCACTCCTGAGAGACCACGACTGACTTGAGGCGATTCAAAACAGCCAAGCCATGTAGCGCACAATGGGGCTTTTTTGCTTTGAGGGTCGGGGCGATTTAGGACGGCCGTGCTTATACTGTAATAATAATAGTAATTTTTATTTATACCCCGCCCTCCCCAGCAAGGCCGGGCTTAGGGCGGCTAACAAGCAGTAAGAAAAAGAAGTTATAAGCAGACGACCTCTCATTACATTAAATAAAATTAATTCAGGGATAGTAATTTATTTAAAACAGACGCCCTTACATCATATATACAGACTGTAGTATTTTATTTTAAACTATTTCAGGGTGATTCCCACACGCTTTTTCAAAATCCTTTTTCCTCTCAGAAAAATGCAGGGTTTTTTAGGCTCCTCGCGCCTCCCCCGCTTTCCCGCCTTTTTTCGCTCCTCCGACGTCGACGGTTTAACGGACGGCCGCCCTTCCCGCTCCGCCGCCTGAACTTTCCCGCCTTTTTTACACCTCAGGCGACCCAAGTCAGTCGCTCAGTGCGAAACCTTATTCAGACTGAAGGGTCGAGCGAGTACACTAAACAATAATAATACTTTCCTTCCCTAGTTGACATTTTATTCACCCTCCCCGCAGAGTTACTTAATAAAGCCACATTTCTGTTTTTTCCACCAAAATGGTCCCCATCTTATGGTAACTTTTAACGCTATCAGAAGCAAATCGCCACCAATCACTATTGTAATCTGGTGGTTTTTACCTTATCATAGATCTTAACTATTCTTGGAAGGTTTTAAATAGGGTTTTTTAAAAAAAAAAAACCCTGAAACTTTCATTGTCTTATTCTTCTAAACTGCTCTCAGGTTCATTTGTTTTTTACAATCAAGCGACATAAATCTCATAAAATAAAAAAATAATTATTACTGGGTTGCATTCAATGCTAGTTCTTTTCAGAGCAGGCCCATTGAAGTTAATAGACCTAATTTGCTTCCATCAATTTCAATGGCTCTACTCTGAGTAGAACTTTAGCTGGCTACAACCCCTTATTGTTTTAAAACAGTTCCTTAACAGAAGTGGGGTGTTAAGTATAAAATGGCATTGTTCTTTGAAACCATGTCTCACTTAAAAGAAATATCACCTTTTTCTCCCTACCCCCAGCTCTATGCCTTTCTATAATTGTCTGGCAGGCAGAAATTCTCCAGGTGAAGCTTCCCCCAACCAGTTCACATCTTCATGACAGGAAAAGCGGAGCCTTTTTTTAATTTCATGCCAGGCATGGTTTTAAAAGCACACAGAATACTTTTTCGGTGGAGAGGCGCTGCAGCCCCCTCTTAGACAAGGGAAAATACACTTTTAAGGACATATATGTGTACAATTTATGCCCACATACTCAGAGGGACTGCCCTCAACCTCCTTCATGGCTAATAAGTTTGCAAACTGGCCAGGAAAAATATATACTGTATATGCAGCATCTTCTCCATCTTTAACAGAAATCAGAATGTGACATTTTTCATGGCATGGAATTCAAATTATTTTTGCCCTAGCTACAGATCAGATCGCTGCTCAAGACAACCCTACCCTAGGTCTGATATAAATATAGATATAGATATAGATATAGACAGCAGTTATTTTATAAAGTCAAGAGTAGTTGAATAGGAGATGGGCTGTGCTGGTTGAGTACCCTATAAGGCCTTCCTTGTATCTGTGTGTCCAAGTTGGCCAGTTTCCCACTGGTGAATGGAAAAAGCACTCTGCGCATCCTCAGAGAACATTTCCTCAATTACCTTCTTACCTCCTCTGCTAAACTGACATTGAAAACAGGGCAAAGTCACGTACGGCTCTTTCATGCCACACCTTCCGCAAATAAAGTCTTTTCACACATATTTTTGAAGGAACAGGGTTAATGTCTAAACCAGGGGAGTATAAAAGGGTGTTAGGGCATTTTTGTGTGTAGAGAGATATATGGTAGATGTGAGGAGGGAAATTTATCCAATAACTGTTCCTCAGAGATACTGAATGAAGAGGAGAGTGCTCAGTTTTCTTTCATTAGAGCTCAAAGTTGTTTAAAAGTTAGTTTAACCTGGAATTCCATGTGTCTAGAGTGGTTGTGATTATTCAGTGGTGTTCAAATGTACTTTATTATTCCTTAACACTGCGCAATGGCCAAATCTGGGAATTCAAAATATGGCCTGGCAAATGTGTCGTATGTTCAGAATGAAGTGAAGGCATTAGCTGGCAATAGCTATATACGTCCTTGGAAAACATAGCTTGACCTTTGCAGTGCACACACATTCCTTAAAAATTCCAGGCAGTAACAGCCCATGATATTTTGCAGCCTGATCCATACCAAATCAAGGTGCATGATCCCAAAAGCCGACCAAGATATTCTGGCACCTGGGGCAGAAAAATCCCACAAGAATAATAGAATTGTAGAGTTGGAAAGGGACCACAAGGGTCATCTAGTCCAATCCCCTGCAATGCAGGATAATAAACAACAATTTGTTGTCCTTTCATAACACTTTGAGTCACTTTACCCAGTGGTAGAGCCGTCCCTGATTCCAGGTTGCAAAAAAATTCTTTCATGAATGTTATGTACTGAGTTGAATAGGATCCAAAAGGCAGCAGTCTGATTGGTCCTAGAACAATGTGTGGCCCTTCAAGTCTCTCTATCTGGCCCTCAGAACTTTCCCCAGGCCACATACACTCACTGGCCCTGTTTTTCCACCTTGGGTGTTTTTGATTCTGGAAATGTGTCTTTGAACAGCAATAATGCCTCTTCCTTACCTGGATGGAGGATAGAGAGGTGTTAAGTGTAGACACTATTAAGTCTATTGTGCAAAAGTAATATTTACATGTGCTGTCCCACCCACTTTTGCCTCTGGTCATGTTCACTACTTGGAGTTTAAGACGCTGAGATTCCCTTCCTCTGCCTAATCCAGGCATGTCCAAAGTCCATTTCGGGGATGTAATCCGTCCTGCCGGTCGATTTAATCCGGCCCCTGTGGCACACTTCAATCCCAAAAAACAACTTTGGGGTAAACTTCATCAAATCTGGCACTCTTTGAAAAAAAGTTTGGACACCCCTGAAATCTTTCCTGCCTTTTTCCTCCACTCACTTACCAGATTGAAAGGTTGTTTGCATGCAACTAAAATAATCATCACCACCACCACCCTTTCCTGCTGAGTTCACCCACTCCAGAATTATGTAATAAATCCACATTTCTGCCTTTTCCACCAAGATGGTTCCAACTAAAGTGGCCTTAACCCATCTCAAAAACAATTAATCATCAATTATTAGTATTATTGTATTGTCTCCAGAAGTAGTCCATAACCCTTTTTCTGGGCCTCAGAACTTTCCTCAGGCCACACTCATGCAGTGGCCCTGTTTTTGCACCTTGGGTGTTTTTGCCTGGCTGCAAATGTGTCTTTGAACAGCAAAAATGCCTTCTTGATTACAGTGGTGCCTCGCAAGACGAAAAGAATCCATTCCGCGAGTCTCTTCGTCTAGCGGTTTTTTTCGTCTTGCGAAGCAACCCTATTAGCGGCTAAGCGGATTAGCGCTATTAGCGGCTTAGCGGCTATTAAAGGATTAGCGACTAAGCTGCTAAAAGGCTATTAGCGGCTTAGATAAAGGGGGGGGGAGCGGGGGAAAAATCGCAAGACTAGCAAGACGTTTCGTCTTGTGAAGCAAGCCCATAGGGAAAATCATCTTGCGAAGCAACTCAGAAACGGAAAACCCTTTCGTCTAGCGGGTTTTCCGTCTTGCGAGGCATTCGTCTTGCGGGGCACCACTGTATCTGGATGGAGGATGGAGAAATGTAAGTGTAGAAACTGTAGCCTACTGTGCAAAGGTAACATATACATGTGTTGCCCTGCCCACTTTTGTCTCTTGCCAATGCTCACTACTGGTATACAGTACGGCCTTTAGTGGTTATGCAGAAGGAAATGTGACCCTCGGGCTAAGAAAAGGATTCCCCATCCATCATTGTAAAGTGGCTTGCTTGCCATTTCTGGAGCCACAGAAGGTTTTTGTTTGTTTCTGTGTTTACCTGACACAGCTTTTATTCCAACATACCTTGAGGTTGTAACAGCGATACTATCCGGCAATTACATAAAACTTGGGCTGTTCAGAGCAGGACTACAGACATTACATTATTAACTGATTAAGCCCCACAGCGCCCAAGGGATGCTTAGCAAATACCAAGATCAACCAGGATAAATCATCATTTTGGCTGCTTGTCTCAGATCTACCAGGTGGAGCTGACAGGAAGACCTCGCCTTTGGAGACCAATCACTCTTCTTAAAACAGAGCAGTTTGATTTTTTAAAAACTCTAAAGATTAGTTGCCTAATGGGCTGTTCTTTCAGTGACGAACAATCCACTGTGAGCTGGAAATCCTCTCTAGATTAGTGGATAGGAGCACTGGCTGGCAATGCCGCAGCGATTCCCATGATTCCTTGCAATTTTAATGAATCCTTCATCGCCAAAACTTAGACCCCAGCTGTTGAAATAACAGAGAATGAGACATTAGGAGAATAATTAACACTTTCATTGTGAACAAGGGGCTTTTCAAGGGTCTTACGATGCTCAGTAAGGAACTAAAAATAATTATCATGTAGCCTTAATATCTCATGTTACGGGGATGCTTCCAGTGCTGTGTCGGGACACCAGACACACCACTCTCCTTACACTACTGGGCGATTCCACATAAAAACACAAGAGTCTCCTGGATCAAATCAGTGGTACATCTAGTCCAGCATCCTATTCTCGCAGTGGCCACCCAGGTGCTTCTGGGAAACCCACAAGCTGGACCTGAGTATGAGCCCTCTCCGCTCCTGTAGTTTCCAGGAGGCAACTAACTGGCATTCAGAAGCATACTGCCTCCAACTGTGGAGACAGGTCATAGCCATCGTGGTGAGAAGCCACTGATAGCCTTATCCTCCGTGAATTTATCTCATCCTCTTTTATTTATTTTTATTTATTTCATAAAAAATTCTCCTACCTCCTAATTGTTAAAAAAAGCCTCCAAACTCACAGAGCGGTTTACAAAATAGAATAAAACAATAACATTTTCTCAGAACACAACCTCCTTTCATTCCCCAATCACAGTAGATGCTTTAGAACAGTGGTTTCAAACCTGGGCCCCAAAATGTTGCTGGACTAAAACTCCCATTAGCTAAACATGGAGTCCTGACAACAACTGAGCACCCAAGGTTGAAGAAAAATGCTTTAGACCAGGCTTCCTCAAACTCAGCCCTCCAGATGTTTTTGGCCTACAACTCCCATGATCCCTAGCTAGCAGGACCAGTGGTCAGGGGTGATGGGAATTGTAGTCTCAAAACATCTGGAGGGCCGAGTTTGAGGAAGCCTGCTTTAGACTAAAGTGTCTCAGAATGGATGGGCAGTGGACTCACTGATATACAATGCTGGCTTAGCAGCTGGTTCCCTAAAGGGTATCCTTACCTATTCTTCACAAGCCAATATTCTTTGCCTTCTTCTGTTCCATATCCAATTACGACGACTCCATGATTTATATGCTGAGAACACTTTGGATCATCATATACACCTACATAAAAAGGATAAAGAATCACTTTCAGGTGTGTATGAGCGTATGGTACATTTTTAAAACTGAAGCAAATGAAAGTTGCTCTTGAAAAATAGTCCTCCTAGTTTAGGGCCAACAGAATATGCTATATTCCACCAAGAGGATACAGGAAGCTGCCTTCAGGGCTGCCAAATGAGAAGGAAGAGATGGCACCCATTGATCCCACGTTCAGAATCTGATCAGGTTGGTAGTTGAATCTTACCTCAGCAGTGGTTATCTGTTAACATCTTCCACTATAGTATCAGGCTAGCCTTGTGGGCACAGAGCAGGCTGTTAGGAAGCCTAGGGGAAACAGTGGGGGTTGCCCTTGGCACCTGCATCACTCTGCCAAATAGCAGGGCCAGCCTTTGCTATCATAACAATTCAGACCATTGGTCCATCCTGCTTAGTATTCTCTAGACTGACTGGCAGCAGCTCTCCAGGGCTTCAGGCAGAGGTCTGTCCCAGTCCCACCTGCAGACACCAGAGATTGCACCTGGAACCTTTTGCATACAAAGCAGGTGCTGTACTGTTGCGCTACAGCCCTTCTGCAAACAACATTGGGGGAAGCAGGTATCAAAGATGCAAAGGTAAAATCATAATGTGATATTAATTAGTGTTATTACTAGAGTAATAACACTAGAGTAGTAACCTAACTCCATACCAAGTTTGGCATTGGTGTTTTGGTAAGGGAGAGTTTTGAGAAAATGTTAGTAATGTCCTGGGAAGTTATGTAGCCTGTTGGTATTCAGTTGGTGGGGTTCAGGACCAACTAAATGTAGGTCACATCAGCACTGGAGAGAAAAGGAGATTAGTACACCAAAGCAAAAGAGAGGGAAGAATAGTTCTAGACAGGCCAACAGTAAACCTGAGAATAATACGAGGCATAATTTATTTGTTCATAGTGGGTCCTGCATTGGGTCCTGTTTGGGGTTAAAAATGGGTCAAGGTTGTGGAAAGCTTGAAAAGTATCTATGGAGAGAACAGCAAGGAATTGTCAAGGATCACACACAGTTGAATAATTTATTGAAGGAAAGGTAAAATTGCGGCTTTCAGAAGACCATTAATCTGTGTGCATGCACACACAATCAGCCCTGTCTGAACAACTTGCCTGCACAAAATGGCTGACCTCACTGGGCTAGCAAAAGAGTCTGCTTCTTTGCATGCCAAAGAGGGTTGAATCCAACTAAGTCATATTCAGAGTAGACCCATTGAAATTAGTGGACTTAAGCTAGTTTTGATGGGCACGAAAGAAAGCACTGATTTTGGTGCCCACCCATGTTCATCTTACACAGCGCTGTTTCGGTTCCACTGCAGTTCGGCTTCCAAAAAAAGTGACTTTACTTGTAAATGTGAAGGCCATTCATTTCCATGCAAACAAAATATATAAAAATGGGGGTGGGGGTGGAGAAGAGAGAGTCTTCAATTACTGTATATATCGTTCACAGACTGAAAACAACAACAGCTAATACTGTTTGTATTTACTGGCTGGATTTCCACTCCAGACATGAAACAAATAAGTAAGTGAAGAGCTGGCTATTTCTGCTCCTATTCCGTCAGAATTCTCTGTGTCCCTTGATTTCCAATGAGTCTATCCAGAGTATATTTGCAGGGAAGCACGGTAGAACTCACCTCGCTTAAACAGGAAGAATGACATTAGACTTGCATCTATACCAACCGATACAGGGCCAACATTGGCTACGGCATCCATCAGGGCAGCTTCATCTCCATATGGGAGAGTAACATATTTAGAGCAGGTAGCAGCTCGTGCAGAGGGGTCATAGTGACACGTTCCATTCTGAAAGAAAAAGAAGATAAAGTTGCTTTTCCTCCATGAGTTTCTCTAACAGTATAAGATCTTAAGAAGAACTCTGAAGCTGGATCAGGTCAAAGGGGCCCGCCTTGCGGGTAGCAGGTTTTTAAAAGGTGTGCAGTAGTGACTACTGCTGACACCAGGGCTGGACCTACGCTGACCTGTTTAATGTTGTTATAACGATATTAGATATATCTAATCTATATCTTAGTTAAATAAGTCAAATAATTTTAGCTGATTTGGCAACTAAGGCACTGGTTTTAATTTACACAAATATTCAGGTGAATGCAACCATCTTCCTGAAGAAGAAGAAAGAACAACTTTGTTTCAGATGATGCACGCATACAATAAGCAAAGATCATCTTAGAAGAGGGACGTCTTTGTAAGTAAGTACAATAAATGTAATTTATTTGCAACAGTCTCTAATGCATTGCTAGCAATCATGACAGGATATATTCTGAAATAAATCTGCAGATGCACTCTGTAGAGTTTTATGTTTACATTCAATCTAAATTAAATGATACAAACCTTGGCTTCATATGGGTAGGAAGCTTCCGAATCAATGCCTTTGTTGTCTATGATATACTGGAAGGCAGCCCGCATGTAGCCTCCATTGCACCCATGGTTTCCATACTTACTGGAGCAGTCAACAAGGTTTTGTGCACTGAGAGACACCAGTTTCCCTGTCTTGAGTTTTAGCTGGCCTTCCAGGGCCCCAACAGCACTAAAGGCCCAGCATGCACCACATGCACCCTAAAATGGAGAGGAAGCTATCAGAATCAGTTTCAAAGGAAGAAATTGCTAAGTTCCAGATGACCCGTTCATTGAGCCTTCATTCTCATTTGCTTGTGGAGAGATTAGACAACATTGTAGCAGGCATTTCCCCACACTTTCCAGTGCACTTGCCAATCACTTTCCTTATCGCAAAAAGTCTGATTTTTCTGGAAGCTGGTTGTTGTGCAAGTCCTCGCAATCAGCTTTAATTGCACAATTTGAATTTGCTGAGGTGTGACTGAATCCCACCCAAAGACAGTGATGGTCTGGAAATGCCGAAAGACGCTCTCTTACCTGGTTCTTAACATCTGTGACACACCCTTTCTGCCTCCAGTCTACAGCGTTGGGGAGGACTCCCAGACTTCGCACATAATATGTTGAATTGTGCATGTGTGAGTCAGGAACTTTCAAGCCAGTCAACATAGCAGTCACCTCCTCACTGGTCTACATGAAGGAACATATTCCAGAGATGTTGCTGTGTTAGGTGATAGCTTCATGAAGCAAAAGCAACCAAGAGTCTTGTGGAAACTTAAAGACTACCAATTTTATTATGGCATAGAAACTTTCATGGATTTCAATAAGATGCATAAAGGAAGTTCATTAAATCCAACCCATCACTACTCGGTGCTAGCTCTGTAACACAGCTAAAGCACCCGCCTTCAGTAAGATGAAAATGTTAATACTGAAATTTACGTATGAATTGGACTCCCCTCCCCTATTTCACATTTAAAAAGTAATGTTTAGGAGGAACCCTAGAAATGAAATGAAAATTTTCCACCTCTCTCAAATTTTTATTGCTGTAGTTTTCCTCAATCCCAGCAGGAAGTTGATTCAACCAGTTTCAGTTATTTGGTTTCAATCAGTGGCATATTTGTTCTAATATGACAGAATTACCAACATACCCATCAATCATGTTAAACATTCGTTTACTAACCATATCCCCCAGATGATTCATGCCAAGTTCATAGGAATGTAACCCCAGTGAATGTTCGAGGTTATGCAACATGATAAACTGCAGATTCTTCTCCCAAGTCATACGTCGACCACCTTCCTCTTTCTTAAAAAAAAAGAAAAATGCAGAAGCTCACATTGTTTATGAAGGGAAAATTATCTATTATTATTACCATTGCTATTTTATAAATTCATATGCAACTTTTTCATATAGATGTGCTGGAAGTGGCTCACACAACAGAAAAACAAAAATGCTGACTGATACATGATTCCAATAAGAACCAAATGCTACATCATTTCAAAGCATAACACAGCAATCACACAAATCACTCAGTTTGATTATGTGAAGATGATAACATTTTAAGGTTGTCATAAGGCAAACTATCAATAATTAAAACATACCAAAATGTATTTATTATTTAAACTAATATAAGACTGTTTTCACCCTACAATTTAAAGTTTGGGTCAATACTGCCATATCTATACAAACAGAACCCAAACTCATCCCAATGCCTGCAACTAAAGTCACATCTACACTTAGTGCTGAATCAGCAAACGTCAGTCCACAGAAAGCCCAAATTACCATTTGCTCTGATTCAGCATTAAAGATGGGGTTTTCCTGGGGAAAACAGTGGCAGGTGAGGGAAAATGCTCAGACACAGACGAGGAAATAGGAAAGTGTAGACCTGTGCCTAAAAAGCACAGGGCAAAAGGTAAGTATGGATGAGTCCTAAGTATCCCACTACATCAGAGTTGTTGATTACTATCTGTACAAACAGAATCGGTCCTTTGGGCCTGTTGGTTTCTGCCCACAGCCAGGCCATAGTGGAGGATGTTGCAGAAGTTTATACTTATTATTGTGATATGTGTCGTTTATTGCCCTCTGCTTCAGTTTTCTAACTGATCAAACAACTGTTAGATCCACTTAATGTCTGCTCATATTCTCCAGAACAGGAATGAGGAACTCAAGTACCTGCCCCCCCGAACTTAGCAGCTGGGGCTGGTGAGAACTGGGGTCTAGCAACATCTCAAGGCCCCCAAGTCTGCCTCCCCTACTCCATTATCAGACTAATGCCTTTGCATTAAGACTATTTTGGCTCTCACTCCAGCTGCCTTGACTACTAGGCCTTGCTGGAGACCTGGCCTGATACCTCTGGAATCACAGGGCGTTCTTTTCCCTTTGAACCTCTACATTTGCCCCTTCATCACTCTTCTGCTCAACCGGCACTCTTTGCAACCATTTCCATATTTTACTCTGTCTTAAGGCTTTCAAAGCCTTCTGTGTGGGCTCAGTCATTTGACCCAGACTTGGTTATGCTAAGCACATTTTCCTGTCTATGGGGACAGACAAGATGGTGCCCTCACTACACCCCATGTACAGAAGCCACCTGGACTTGCATAGTCTTTATCACACTGACAGCAGTAGTCTATCCTAGGTGGGTTGTGTGGCACACACAGCTGTGTCCTCCCACCACCTTGCAGCAGCTTCTCACCATCACCTCCTCTATGTCTGCTACCAGAGGTAACTGCCTCACTCTACCCAACTGTAGGGTCACAACTGCTGAAGCATCTTCCTCAGACTCAGTCCTCAAAAGGCTCTGGAAAGCAGTTCTAAATTAGCCCTTGATGGCATCCATCTCTGTGTTGTATCCAGTGCTAGTCCTACTCAGACTCATTAATGGACATGACAGACTTAGGTTCATTGCTTTCAGTGGGTCTGCCCTGAGTAGAACTAGCATTGGAGACAACCCTCTGACACCTCTTGATTTCCTGCTACTTGCTTGCTCCTAGAACTGGTGGGGCTTACAACTACAGTGGTACCTCGGAAGTTGAACAGAATCTATTCCGGAAGTCTGTTAGACTTACAAAATGTTTGGGAACCAAGGCACGGCTTCCGATTGGCTGCAGGAAGCTCCTGCAGCCAATCAGAAGCTGCAACGGACATTCGGGTTCCAAAGAATGTTCACAAACGGGAACAATCACTTCTGGGTTTGCAACGTTCGGGAGCCAAAACGTTCTATTGGCAAGGTGTTCGGCTTCCAAGCTGTACTGGAATTTCTACACCCAAGCTCCAATGCCAACAGCTTGTGCCCATACCTCATTTTTGTATGTTTTGCCATACTTTTTCTTCCAAAGCTCCCAGTGCCTGTTGAGTGTGGGGTCCTTCTCCCAGTATGCAGGCGAAGCAGCAGCAGCAAATGCCAGGAAAACACAGGCCCACAGTTCCATCCTGCTGAGGCAGACACAGAAAGCTGGTAAGTACGGGGTTGCTGGTGTTATGGCGATAAGACAGGTGGCTTCCAGAGTGAGGTGAACCCTGGGTAAGCACTTGGAATCTCTCACCACTTGGAAATTGGGATGCCATTCTTATGTTCTTAATCTGGTATTCAGCACCTGGGAGAAACATAGCCTGCAGTCTTCATTGTAAACTCAGTCTATATCCAGCCCTCGTGGCTATGTGTATATTTTAGGACCCACCCTATTCCTCAAATATTAATATGCTATAAATTGTTGTATTTTAAATTGCTGTGAGCAACCCTAGGACCTTAGGGCAAAGGGCAGGTACTAAATAAAATTAACAACAACCTCTAGCCTCCTTTTTCAACTTTCCTTTTGTTACCTACCTCACCTGAATAGTCTTCCCCTTTCCATAACATTTTGCCCAATAAAGAGTTCTGCAGTGCCTAAAAGCTGGCCACAGTTTATGGGTTGTTGTTTTTTTTGGGTTGATCCTAATAAAAGTTACCCCTATTTTACTTATTTAAAAGCATTTCTAAACCACTTAGTATATATATAGAGAGAGGGAGAGAGAGTATCTCAGCCTTTTGGAGGGTGCCCTCCCCTCTTAATGGACCTACACTCTTTTGTAAAAGAAAAAATAAAGTTACTTCCTCAATTGCTCCGAAAGAGATCAGTAAAGGGGAGGAAAAAAATCTCTTTCTCCAAGTCTCTCCTTATAAATACCTACCTGAATGTCTTTCAGCAGGCTGAGGCTGGGTGTTCTCTCTTGACCTCTTCTTTAGGGTGTAAGAAACCTTCCTGTTCCAGGAGCCCCTTTCTTATGTTGTTTCTCCGGCTGAACCTTTCAACAACACTGCTCCTGCTTCACCCGCATGCTGTTGATAAAAAGGCTACTTTCGATTTCTTATGCTCAATGTCACATGGGCCTCCCCACCCCAATAAAGGAAATGCCTTGCTTTCATTACAATGGTGAGCAATCTGAGCATGCAAGATGACTGTGAATTGATTTGCTACATCTTCAGGCTCGGTAGGAGATTATGAAACAAGGAAAGTTTAGCTTGGTTCCCCACTTCACAGGATGCCCTGCATTTATCTTCTGCATCTGCATCTCTCAACACAGGTTGTGCTCACACAACCAGTAACTGGGCTTCTTTCCCTCGCTGGATGTGTGTCTATATTATTAAGATTTAAACTAGTTGTGAAACACATTGAAGGATATATGATCTGCATCAAGCCAGATTAGAAATTGATGAATCTGTCAATTTCAGTTCCTCTCAGTGTCTCTCCTTTTTTCCTGTACTGAATTTAGTTTACAATTATTTGTGCATCAATTGCAATGGTGTTTTTTTTAAGTCCTCACTAATATCTGTCAGCATTTTTCTTAATACATACATTTTTAAAATACAATTTTCCATAATACAATGCATTGTTGGTCATTCCCCACTAATATTTGAATTTGTAGGCAGATACTTTCCCCTAATGCACACAGTTTTGATTGGAGAACTGCGCTGCAAAATTTGGAGATGGGCAGATTTTGAAAGACAGGTGCATCTCAGTTTGTGTACTAAGTTTGGGAAGTGTGACCTGGGGAGCTCACCGAAAAATGTGACCCAATTCAAATTCTTCCCCCATCCCTAATCCAAGTAAAACAAGTAAAGTTACTAGTACTGTACAAGTAACCAGTAACAGATCTGTCCTCCCTGAGTCAATCTGTTAGGAGCAGAGGAAGCTGCCTTATACTGAATAAGACCCTTGGCACATCTAGCTCAGTGCTGTCAACACTGACTGGCAGCAGCTCCCCAGGGTTTCAGGTGAGGTGTTTTCCCAGCCCTTTCTGGAGGCATCAAGGATTGAACCCAAAACCTTTGCTTGCAAACCATGCGCTCTTCCACTGAGCCATGACTCTTCCTTGGCCTTCTTCCAATTTGATATTGGTGATGTAAACAGATGGCACAAATTTAGGATGCAGACGTCTCTCAGAAGCTGTGAGTCATGATGGCTATGTGAAGCCTCCAGGTCTAGAGGCAGCCTACCACTGAATGCCAGTTGCTGGGGAGAGACAGTGAGAGAAGGTTGTTGGCATCCAGCCACACTGGTAAGCTTTCTGGAGGCATCTGACCGGCCACTGTGAGAAGCAGGATTCTGAGTAACATATACCCACTTTGGCCTGATCCCGCCAGGCTTCCCAAGCCTAATAATCACAGAATGGTAGAGTCGGAAGGAATCCCTAATGGTCATCTAATCCAACCCCCTGCAGTGCAGGGATCACAGCTAAAGAAACCAATCAGGAGGTCAGGCAAGAAGTCATTTGGCTTTGCTGGAATGTGGAGAAGCCTCTGTAAAATATCCCTAGCCCTTCTCAAAAACCTGAAGCAGGAAGGAGTCCCTGGAATTGGGTGGGCCATGAAAATATAAACTGGTTTAATTTTAGTGTGGCATGGAGAGAGCTGGCTCATGTTGAACCCAGAGACTGTAAGAATTTGGCTTTGCTGTACAAGCAGCAGCTGGGCTGAGGGAACAAGTGGTTTTTGATACTTGCCACACCGAAAGGTCCTCTTTCGCCCACACGTATGCACTGGGGCCTGACTCTTGAGTTGAAAGCGGCCCAAGTCACTGCACTCAACAAAATTCAGCTGATGCCCTTCCTGTAATCACCAGAAAGGAGAACCAAAACTTGACCCAGCTGCTGCCGGTTTTTTCTTCCTGGGCTCACTGATGCTTTCTGCACCCATGCAGAAGGTTCAAAGTCCTTGTTTTAACTTGCAAAGGCCTGAACAATTCAGGTCTAGGAAACCTCAGGGACCACCTGAACCCCTATATATCCCAGCTCAATCGCCAAGATCATCTGCAGGAATGTTCTTGGTCGTCCCCCAAGTGGGCAAGGCTCATTTGACAACAAGAAGAAACCAGGGTGTCTTCTGTGCCAACTTTTAAACACCTGCTGAAAACTTTTCTATTCTGCCAGGCCTATGCAGGAAATTAAGAATATGCCATTGTAAAATGGTTAATTGATGCCTCTTTTTAACTCTCTTTTTTAAAAAACAAAAAACAAAATTATTTTATGGTTTTATGTTTCATTGCTGTGAACCACTTTGGTTTCTTTTTAAATGGCATAGTGGTATAGAATTTTTTAAAATAAATAAATAAATAGTAAACATTTCAAAAAGCCAGGCCAAGTTGGACCAAGTCTAGAAGTTTTGCTCCCTGCAGCGAAGGACAGGATGGCATGCTTGTTTCCCACTCATGTTCAGGACTGGTACTTGAATCTCACTTAGGAGCGCAGCCCTAAGGATTTGAATATGGAACCTTCTGCATGAAAAGCTGGTGTTCTATCACGGAGCTACAGCCCTTCCTTTAAAAACAACAACCTCATGGTTTTGAAGAAACGGCCAGTTTGAATAGGAACTGAGAAAGTTGCCTTATGCTGAGTCAGGCAGTTTGTCCCACAAGCTCAGCATTGTCTTCAGTGACTGGCAATAGCTTTCTGGGGTTTCAGGTGGGACATTTCCCTGGCCCCACCTAGAGATGTCAGGGATTGGACCTTCTGCATGCAAAGCAGAAGTTCTGCTACTGAGCTAATTGCTAGTAAATCCAGAACAAAAGAAAACTCTTTGACACAAGGCATTGCTAGTTTTGGGAAATCACCCCACCCCACCTTGGTTGGTGGCCACTGGTTCACATGGCTTTTTCAAAAATCCAAAAGGTTGAGCAAATTCATGGAAATCCATGGCCAATTGCCAAGACTGAAATCAAACCTCCAAGTCCAGATGCATTATACCCCTGAATACCAGGCAGATGGCAGGTGACAGCTGGTGCCTTTGTGCCCTGCTTTGGGGGCTTCCCAGGGGCACCTGGCTGACTTGAGTTGGAAATAGGATGCTAGATGGACTGGACCCCAATTCCTCTTTGTCATTATGATCCCAACTTGTAGCTGTAGCAGCGATCCAGTGGCAGCAACTGAGTCAACCTGAGACCACTCCCCCACTCCCTCCCCGAGAGACTACTGCCCCCTTCAAGATTTCATTGAAGCACCACCTCTTCACCTCCAGGCCTCACACTCCCCCTAGCCCTGCTTGCCAAAGCAGATAATGCACACAAAAAGCATTCATGGAGTATAAAAAGGACTCCGTTGAGACTATCTTTGAGCAAGTCGCTTGCTCCTAGGGCTTTCTCTGGGTCCCTTAAAGTTCTGTCCTTGACCACCTTTGTTTACTTGATTGCTGGACCTTGCTGGGCTGCTTCATACCCAAAATATGACCTAGCACGCCTGCTGGATCTTGCACCCTCCTGACTGTGGGCTCCACCTCACCAGGACTGGTCATTCATGGAGGATGTGGCTTGGCTCCCTTGCTTGAGCGATCTACTCTGTGTGTTCCTTCCTGCTTTCTCTGCTTGAGGATGTTCTGAGGCCCTGATTTGCATACACCAGGCATGTGGAACCTCAGGCTCCAATGCAGTGAGCAAACACAGCCCTTCAGCCCTCTCTATCTGGCCCTCAGGACCAAGTCACACACCCCTCATCAGCCCCTGCTTTGCATCCTCCCCTTGTAGGTTGTTGCCCTGCTGGGATGTGTCCTTACACTCTGAAAACGCTTCTCACTTGCCTGGATAAGAGAGGAATACCCAAGTGTAGAGACCCTGGCTCTTTCGTGTTGGGAAAATTTTCATTCTGGGATCCAAGAATCAGCTCAATAAAAAGATCTGCATTAATCTATGCTGGATTTTGTATTGGCATTGAAGTTGAGGTAGAGAGAGAATGTGTTTCTAATATTAGCAAGTTTCCCATTTTTCTTGCAGAGGAAGAACCAAGAGACATTTTGTGTTTAAAAAAAATGAAAATGAAAGAAAGCTTTTTAATATGCTGTCACAGACAACTGCCTATATCATTGCAGCAAAACAGCTTTCACGGAAGTCCCTTGTTAGTGCTCCTTAATGTCAGCTCAGGAAGCCAGCCATTTGCTGACACGAGGGCCACTTCTGGTGTGGCAGTGCATGCATGGACTGGTCACATCTTTGGGAAGCTGGCCAGGTTGGCAATCCCGCAGGCGTTGTCCATATTCCGGGCCATCAGGATGTAGCCCTTGTTGCCCCAATCTTCCCCCCAGCTATAGGGAGGAGAGGGAGAGAAAGAGAGAGAGAGAGAGAGAGAGAGAGAGAGAGAGAGTAAGAACGTGGATGAACATTCTCTGTCAGCCAACACATTAGAAAATTCAGCTAACCAGGCAGGTGAGATGTCACTTCTGTTTTGTTTCATCTGCTCTGGGTATCTATTCATTTCCTGCTTCTACTTAAAGCGGTGGTGACTGCTTTCAAAAGCCAAAATCGCCTGGGACCAGGAACGTCAGGAGTGTAGAGATGCAATTTTCATGTGCAGGAGTTGCCCATAAGTACGAAAGAAGCTGGGTGCTGGATCAGGCCTATCAGGGGCCCATCTAGTCCAGCAAGCTGTGTTCACAGCTACCGAAGGCCCCCAAGAACCTTGGAATCTAGACTGCCTGCCTCTGGCAAGCTGGAACATGTCCAGAGGAGGGCTGATCCTCTGGAAACCAAGTCTTATGAGGAACGGCTGAGGGAGCTGGTTATGTTTAGCCTGGTTGAGAGGAGACGGGATAACCATCTTCAAATTTCTAAAGGGCTTCCACATCAGGAATAACTTTCTGACAGTAAGAACTGTTTGACAGCGGAACAGACTCCCTGAAAGGTGGTGGTGGACTCTCCTTCCTTGGAGGTTTTTAAAAAGAGGTTGGGAGGCCATCTGTCATGATGTATGAACTAGCTGTGATTCCTGCACTGCAAGGGGTTGGAGTAAATGAACCCTGGGGTACCTTCCAACTCCATTTTTTTTATTCTATGACATCAGAAAAGCTGGATCAAGCCACTGGGAGCCCATCTAGTCCAGCAACCTGTTCTCACAGCGGCCACCCAGATCCCTGTTGGAAACCCACAAGCATCTGCCTCTGACTGTCGAAGAAACATAGGAATCTGCCTTATACTGAGGCTCTGTACACGCTGTATCTTTAAAGCACATTTGAAGCACATTCTTTCACCCAAAGAATTCTGGGTACTGTAGTTTACCCCTCTCAGAGTTACAATTCCCAGCAAGTCCTTAACAAACCACAAGTCTAAATATAGAAAGGGCAAGGGGATATTCAGGCCACTGGCTGATAGATGGTGGATGTTTGTCCTCCTTCCAGCCTCGCAGTTAAAGTCTCTTAGCCACCTATTCGAGCTCCCCAAACCCACCATTCTTGGACATACTTTTAGAAAACTTCAGATATGTACCTGTTTTTAACAATCCAGTGCTTGGTGCCTTTCTGAGTCCCATAGCCCACGGCCAGGACAGCATGGTTGATGTTGCCGGCATCGCATTGCTCGTCGTAATACACACCTAAGGAAACCAGAAGGGGCAGGGTGTGACTCAGTTTAGCCCATCGCAAGCTCTGTCTGTGGTTCTCAAAACGGGATGGACAAATTAGTCAGTTTTAGTGCCTCCTTTTTCCAATCTTAAATTCAGCTACTGCAGATCTTTCCTCCATAGTAGAAGAAGGAGAGTTTGGATTTGATATCCCGCCTTTCACTCCCTTTAAGGAGTCTCAAAGCGGCTAACATTCTCCTTTCCCTTCCTCCCTCACAACAAACACTCTGTGAGGTGAGTGGGGCTGAGAGACTTCAAAGAAGTGTGACTGGCCCAAGGTCACCCAGCAGCTGCATGTGGAGGAGCGGAGATGCGAACCCGGTTCCCCAGATTACGAGACTAAAAAGTCCACCTTGCAAAAAAATGCCAAAATTGTACCGTGCATTTCTCCAGTGCTGTGTGGTGGTTGAACTGTTGGACTAGGACCTGGAAAAGACCAGGGTTCAAATCCTTCCACTTGGCCATATGGTGGTCCCTGGGTGTGACCTTGGGCTGGTCACTGCCTCTCAGCCTAACCTGCTGCACAGGGTTGTTGTTAAGCTTTGAGTGTCATACTAGGACAAGGAAGTCCAGGGTTAAGCATCCCCCTCAGCCACAGGGTTGTTGTGGGGGTTAAATGAGGAGAGGGAGAACCATGTAGATGCCACTTTAAGCTCCTTATAAATGCAGTTAATTATTAAAAATAATTGTGTAATATTTTGCCTTATACAGTTTGGCATGCCATTTCCCCAAATGTTATGCCTTTCTCTATGTAATTGCCATGAATCTATGGACGTTTATGCTGACTTTCCCCCAATCTATGCATTTTTGTTTGCCATTTTGCTGCAGTAGTCCATCCTCTCTTACCTCGGCTGTAGAACTGGAAGGAGGCCAGGCTGGCATCGATGCCCACAGCGATGGGGCCTATCCGGGCAACAGCTCTTTTCAGGGCCTTCTCGTTCCCCTCGGGGATCTCCCTGTAACCACGGCACTTGGCAGCTTTACCAGTTGGGTTATACATACAGTTTTCATCCTGCAAGGTGGATGAACAGGAGAGGGTGAATACAGAGCATGGCAGATTGTGCAGAGGAGCAGTGGAGTTTTGGTTTGGAGCTCAGGTTTCCCATTACCTGGCCGATATATGGGTAGGAATCGTCCGAATCAATGCCTCGGTTCTCCTTCACGTATTCAAAAGCATGGGTCATGTAGCCGCCCCCGCAGCCGTCATTGTCGGTCACGCAGTCCACCAGGTTCTGTGGGCTGAGGTTAAGCAGCTTGCCAGTCTTCCTCTTGAGCTGCCCCTCCAAGGCCCCCACGGAGCTGAAAGCCCAGCAGGACCCACACTGGCCCTGCCAAGAAAGAAGGGGGAATAAACTCAAAACGAGAAGCGGCTGTGATCAAAACAGCCTTTCCCCAAAACGGCGTGCTGTTTGGCCTTGCTTGTGCTCCAGGGTGGAAAAGTCTTCTGCATCTCTGCATTGGGTATACAGTATGATTGGATTAGTCCATGGCTCCCAAAAACAGAATTAGCATCTATTATCATTACCACGGGTCTCAAAACACAATTCTTCTTAATTATCATTAGTATTGCTCCCCAAACAGAATTACTCTTTATTGTCATTACCATGGCTCCCGAAACACAATTCTTCTTTATTATCTTTATCATTTGGGAGTCATTATCATGGCTCCCCAAGCAGGATAACAGCTATTATTATTTTGTGCTTATTATTTGTGTCTTTCCTCCCGACAGAGCCCGGCGTGGTTCTGAAGGAGCATAAAGACACAACCACCCACACACAATAGCTAAAAAAATTCTCCTCTGTGAATTTGTCTAATCCTCCTTTAAAGCCATGCAGGTTGGTGGCTATCACTACCTCTTGGTGTGTGTGTGTGTGTGTGTGTGTGTGTGTGTGTGTATGTGTAAAGAAGGCCCTCCTTTTGTCTAAAGTGGGATCCTTGGACCAAAGGGAAGGAGCAGACAGCACCACAAGCCATGCAGGGATGACTTAAGGCCCACCCAGCAAGAAGCTGTAAACAGAAAAAAGAGATGAGGATTTTCACCTGATTCTTGACAGGAGTAACATAGCCTTTCTTTCTGTAGTCCATTTCGTCAGGAACCCTCTTTTCCCAGTCTGGGATGTAGAGGGTGTCGTTGGTTTGTTTGCGTGAGGGAGGGACTTTGAGCCCCGTCATCTTCTGAACAACTTCTTCACTGGTCTGGAGAAGGAAAAACAGCGAGCGAGCGAAAGGTGGATGGATGCATTTGTACTCTGAGTTGCATTCTTCATTTTTTCCAACTATTTATATTCTGCTTAACTCTGTAGTCTTTAAGTGGTACGCAACAGGATTACCCCCAAATGCTGTTGTTGCCTAGACAGGCTGATAGCGCAACAAAGGGTGTGGGGACAAAAGAACCCGAAACAAACACCAGAACATTAGCGGTATGAAAAGTTGCAGGATTTCAGCAAGAAGTTACAGGGATACGCACTGATTGGAAATGAAGCAGTGTGACTGCCTCAAACGCTTGCAGGTGCAAATAGTATTGAAATTAGGATCACGTGTCACAGCCTGGATATTCATCATAAACATGAATCATCATACGTGTGCTGTAAAAAGAACTTCTAGAGGTGTCCCAGGTTACTAGGCTTTTCCGAAACTGGAGGCCAGGGAGACATTTATAAGGAGGTGGTGGAGGGTAACAGAAGTGAAGCCGGATTAGCAATGGAGGCAAGTGGATGTAAAAATAAGTCAGCCTTTTGCATGGGGTTGGTCAGCTAAAATATTGGCAGTTACCACCATCCCCCCACCCAAGTTAAAAGGTTACCAATCTTCACTTTGGGATTATTTCGCTGCAGAGATGTCCCCAGCAAATTTCCACCACTAGCACTACCTACCATATCTCCCAGGTGGTTCATAGCCAATTCAAAAGTGTGCCTTCCCAGAGAAAATTCCAAGTTATGGGTGTTGATGTATTTAAGGTTCTTCTCCCATACAAGCCTCCGGGAGACCTCATCCATCTGTAGGTTACAAAAAGACAAAAGGTTAGTTCAATATCTTAATGTACAGGACAACCCCTGGTGGCCGTTGGTCCAGAAGCGGCCCCCAGCCAGGTTTCGCCTGGACCCCTCCTGACCAGCTGCTGTTCTGCAGTGAGCAGAAAGGGTTTCTATTGTGTGCAAAGGGCGCAATTTCAGGTATACCCTCTGCTTGAACAAATTGTTGCTAGCAGATCCAAGCAGTGGCGTAATGTCTCAGCAGAGAGGTAGATCTTTGTTCCTCATAATGCTGCACAAAAAGCAGCTCATTTTGCAACCACTAGAGTTGTTTGAATTATAGTGCTGGAGGAGACTCTTGAGAGTCCCATGGACTGCAAGAAGATCAAACGTATCTATTCTGAAGGAAATCAGCCCTGAGTGCTCACTGGAAGGACAGATCCTGAAGCTGAGGCTCCAATACTTTGGCCACCTCCTGAGAAGAGAAGACTCCCTGGAAAAGACCCTGATGCTGGGAAAGATGGAGGGCACAAGAAGAAGGGGACGACAGAGGACGAGATGGTGGGACAGTGTTCTCAAAGCTACCAGCATGAGTTTGACCAAACTGCGGGAGGCAGTGGAAGACAGGAGTGCCTGGTGTGCTCTGGTCCATGGGGTCACGAAGAGTCGGACACGACTAAACAACTAAACAACAACAACAGAGTTGTTCCGCAAAGATTTGAGGAGGCTTTCCAGGATTTCAAACCAGGAATCTCTTCCAGCTCTACGTGGGGATGCCAGGGATTGAACTAGGGACCTTCTGCATGCAAAGCAGGTGTTCTGCCACTGAACTGGTGCCCTTCCTCAGGACAGGACAGCAGCTCTTGCCTTGGGAGAGAATCAGCTAGGGCCAATGCCCTTTCCCGCCTTGCTGCCCAGTCCCCCTACCTTGCCATTATATTCCTTCCTGTGGGTTTTCTTCCAGAGTTCCCACTGAGAGTCCAGCATTCCGTCAGGAGAGCCATCAGTAGCCTTGGCTATTGGCAACAGGGCAGCTAGTATGAAGGTGGTCCACAACATCCTGGAATGGGAGAAAGGAGGGCAAGGATGAGGAAGGGAGGAAAGTATCAGGTCACATACACACCGTCCCTTTAAAGCACATGGCTTCCCCCAAATAATCCTGCCCACTGTAGCATAGCCCTCACAGTGCTGCAATCCCCAGCACCTGGAACCAACATCTGTTCCCAGGATCCTTTGCAGGAAGCCACACACTTTTAATGGATGCTGGATCTGATTTGGGAGTAAGGATGCACAGGATCAAACCCAGCCAGCCACCCACCCAGGAAGTTTAGAGTGGGACCTCTGGCCAGTCCTCATCTGCCAATCTGACTTACCTCACTGGGTCATTGTAAGGTATTACACGAGGAGGGGTGTTGACTGGGTAAAACCAAGTATGCTTGTCCTGAGCTCTTTGAAGGAAAGGCCAGCTCTTTAGATTGGTAAAGTTTGCTGAGTTCAAAAAGAAGTGAGCTGGTCTTGGTAAGTTTGGGGTCCCCCCTCATTCTGCCGGGTGGGGCGTTGGACTGCTGCCTCCCAAAACCTACCTGGACGGCACTTCTGCTGAAAACAAGTTATTTTTCTGTCTTCTACAGCCCCTTCCCCCCTCTCTCTCCCCAAAACCCGTCCTTTGAAAGGACTAGGAAGATAAAAGAGTCACGTGCAGCGCCACAGCTGGTTCCCATTAATACACTAAACAGCGCCATACGTCATCACTTTCAGCAAAACCAAGATCTGGTTACCTTTGTTCAGCTCCGTAGGGAGTAAAAAAAAATAAACCGAAAAACTGGGGCAAGCTAAATCTCAGTGGAACCCTGTAGGTTCAGGGCTTCAGACAGGAGCCTTTCACAGCCCTTCCTAGAGATAGGACTGGGCCTCTAAGGGGATCTTTCAGAGGATTTTTTGTTCCTCCCACCCCCCAAAATAAAGTAAGATTCTAGTCCTCATGGTTCTGAAGAAAGGGCTGATTTAAAGAGGAACGTAAGAAGTAGCTGTCTTATCCTGAGTCGGGCCACTGGGTCTATCTAGCTCAGTGCTGTTGACGCTTGGCTGGCAGCAAATCTCCAGGTTGCCAGAGAGGGAGTCTCTCGGCAACATCTGCAGAGGACCAATTACATGCCTGATTTAGATGACTGACAAACCACCGCAAGGCTGTAGCAGTGATGGCCAACATGTTGCCCTCCAGATGATGCAGGTCTAGATTACCATCGCTGACCATCGGCCACATTGGTTAGGGTTGATGGGAGGTTTGAGCCTTAAGGAAGGTTTGAACCTTAATAAGGGATGAAGGGATCATAGATCATAGGATCATAGAGTTTTCCCCACCCACTTCCCACCCTAGAAGGGTCGTCTAGTTGATGGAGAAGACATCTTTGATTTGGCCCATGTTTCAATGCAAACCCACATAATTTGTGCTTCTCTCAAAACAACACGTAAACTGAAACACAGCCATCCTTCAAAATTCACCGCTCTCCAGGTTTTGCAATGCATTTCTCTGATGCTCAGTCGGTATAAGAATTCATATGAATAAAAATGCAGTTTAGTGAAAACTGCAACCAAATGTATTATGTTAAATTCCCTGCAAACAATGTGTATATTAGGCAAAAATTGCATGCAAAAAGATGTTTATCAGTTGAAATACATGCTAAAATGGATTTTTAATAAACAAATAAATCATGAAATGATGCAGAGGACTGAAAAAAGCAGAAACCGAAATTGGTAGACCAGTCACCCCCTCTCTTCTACAGCTGTCTTACCTGAGTTAAAACTCAGCCACCGAAGTTCTCTTGCAAGGGCAGGTCTGCAGGGCAGAAGTTGCTTTTTAAAATACCCAACGATTGCAACTGAGTGGACGAATGCCCGCGGGCTGCTTGGCTTTATGCTGAGCTGGTTTTGAGGAAGTCTAGCCAGGCGGTGGAAAATCTGGGCTGTTTGTCTCAGGCAAAGTTTACTCAGGTTTGCAGACTGACCCGTGGTAAGAGAACGAGGGGGGCTGGGAGTGGGGAGGCCTGGTTGCTGGAAGAGGATCAACTTCCTCACATGATCCTTTGGCAAAGATCACATCACTTTTCCAGCTGGCTCAGGCTAAACTTCAGCTCTGACGGGAAGTGGATGGGAAAAACAGTTTCCAATCCACTGCTACTCCTGCTCAGAGCAGAGGGATATGGATCTACTCTGAGTAGAGCTTAGTTAGCTGTAACCTAATAAAGAATAAGTAACAAATTTGTTGCTTCAGCAACTTGAATATGTGAATTGGAAACTAAGTTATAAGAAAGACGAGGTGGACAATATGAAATAACTATACTATGTTTATTTTTAAGATATAAATAACGGAGATACAGCATTTTGAACTTAGAAACATAGTATTTGAAAGATACAGTAAGATATGAAACAAGGTAACAAATTGCTGATGTTCTAATTGCAAAGAACGCAGGGTTCGGAAGATGTGGGGAAGTCCAGTTGGAATGGCAAAAATAATTTGGAAAGTTGGTTTTTATGTACCTCTTTTTCTCTTTACCTTTATTCTTTATTCTTCATTCTGTAAATTTCTAACTGTTGGAAAGAAAACTTAATAATTTTTTTTTTAAAAAAAAGAATAAATAACAAATTTGCTAGGTACTTTCAAAACATTAAACTAGCTTCGCAAATAACACAAACCCCATTTTGCAAAAGGAACAGTAGAAAGTCCTTCTTCATGCAGCACATAGTTAAACTGTGAAATTTAGGAGGCAATGATGGCCACCAAGCTAGATTGCTTTTAAAGAAGATTAGACAAATTATTATTATTATATATTTATTATTGCTGTTTAATTAATTTGTATACCACCCTTCGTCTGAAGATCTCAGGGCAGTTCAGAACAACAAAATACAAAATGAGAATACAAAATACATAATAAAACAAAAACAGACCGAGAACTCCCCGCTCCCAGAAACACATTTTAAAAGCTATAGAATGTTTAATCAGCCAAATGCCTGGTTGAAGTGAAATGATTCTGCATGGTGCCTAAAGATATGTAATGAAGGGGAGCCACTGTAGAAAAGGCCTGTTCTCATGCTTCCACCTTCCAGATCTCTTGTGGAGGAGGGCCTCTGATGATGATCACAGGGCCTGGGTAGGTTCATATGGGGAGAGGTGGTCCACTTAGAGTTATCGCGGTCCCAAGCCGTTTCAGACTTTATCGGTCAACACCAGCATTTTGAGTTGGGCCTGGAAACTAATTGGCTACCAGTGTAGTCAGACTAGGATCGTTGTAATATGCTCAAACCACCTTGCTACGGTGAACAACCTGGCCACTGAATTCTGTACCAACCGACGTTTCTGAACCATCTTCAGAGGCAGCCCCATGTATAACACGCTTAGTAGGTTACTGGAGTAGATAGGGGCGCAGCTGGGCCATCAACCCAAGCTGATGGAAGGAACTCGGTATCACCGAGGTCACCTGAGTCTTAGGTGACAGCAATGGATCCAGAAGAACCCCCAAGCTGCATCCCTACTCCTTCAGAGGGAGTGTGACCCCATCAAGAGCGGGTCACCTCCCATCCATCCAGTCTAGGGAGCCACCCATCAAAAGTGCCTCTGTCTTATCTGGATTGAACTCCAGTTTGTTGGCTCTCATCCAGTCCAGCACCAAGGCAAGACACTGGTCCAGCACATCCACAGCCTCACCTGCAGATGTAAATGACAAGCAGAGCTGAGTGTCATATTGCTGACAATGTGCTCCAAAACTCTGGATAACCCCACTCAGTAGTTTCATGTAGGTGTTAAACAGCATAGAAGATAAAATTAATGGAGGAGAAGACTTCCGATGGCTGCTAGTCATGATGGCTATGCTCTGCTTCCATAGTTGGAGGCAGCAATACTTCTGAATACCAGTTGCTGGAAACCACAGGAGGGGAGACGGTACTTGTGCTCAGGTCCCGCTAGTGGGTTTCCTTTAAGAATTGGGTTGGTCACTGTGAGAACAGAATGCTGGACTAGATGGGACATTGGCCTGATCCAGCAGGCTAGTCTTATGTTCTTAACAAGATATAGCAAGGCATCAAAGCAACACCATTTCCCAGGATTGTGTTCATTTTTCATGGAATTGGGAAAAAACTGTTTTGAGAACATACCATTTGGAAAAAACTATACTCAGGCAGCTGGGGAGTGGTGGGTGGGCAGGGGGAAGAGGTAAAACATCTGTCTGGGCTTGTTTTGACCCAATACAAATCTTTGATGTGCTCCCTCGGAGCCAGTGTGGTGCCTTGGTTAGAGTGTTAGGCTGGGGGGACCTGAGAAATCCAGGGTTCAATTCCCCACTTGGCCACAAAGCTCTTACTGGGTGACCGTGGGCCAGTCTCACAGTCTAGCCTACTTCGCAGGGTTGTTGTGAGGATGAAATGGGGAGAGGGAGAAAGAGCCACAGACCCTGCCTGCAGCTCCTTGGAGGAAAGACAGGATATAAACATAAGAATAAAGAAATGAATTAAGGCTTGCTTGCCCCAGAGCATCATGGCCTCGTATGACACAACCCACACACCTTTATTTGAGTTTCTGCCATTTAGCATAGCGGCACTGTGAGGATCTATCTTGCGTTTTCCTTCTCGAATATTTCTGCAAGCTGCCTTCGATTGTTCAGAGTGTTCAGAGCTGCAGAGATAAAAGAGTAGAATCTCAATCAAGGCTGTTTCTCCTGCTGGCTTTGAAAAGGAGATTTTGGGATTGATTTGGAGCTGGTTTTGTTATTTCCCAGCCCCATCCCTTCCAAATTCTGGGTTGGGCAGGCACAGGGCACCAAAACCTACAGCAGCAGGAATGCGATGAGCAGTTGACCTTGAGCTCACTTTGATTTGCTAAAAATTGTCATAAGTCAATGCTTGTGCATGTGTGTATATGTATGAATAGCAGGGAATTTCCAGCTGGAGATTCGTAAGGCCCCACATGACACAGAGAAGGCAAGAGTCACATCTAGCAACACAAAATGTTCTGGCTCCCAAGCAAATGAAGTGGAAGCCAGGCTAATGAGAATTTGATTTCAGAATTCAGACTGCTTTTCTTGATCACAATGGCTGCTTGGGGTTTATGTCGTGTTGGCGCCATGGATGCTTTGGGGGAGGGCAGCACACAATACACAGAAATTAGAAAACAAACAATGAATGAATGAATACCCCATAGGGGTGGGATCCTTGGGCTGGGGGCCACATGTGGTGTCAGGACTCCCCTGAGGCCACATCCCTCACCCCAGGCCACACCCCACCCTCGATCTCCTGGAGACCCTGCATTGGAGGGGGTTCTAGATGACCCTTGGGAGTCCCTTCCAACTCTACAATTCCATGAGTATATGATCCTATGAGTGCTTTCCCTTGACTGGAAGGCATCCTTGAATGGTTAGACTGTTTCTTGCATACCTGGATGGAAGATGGAGAGAGGGGTGGTGGTGTAGAAATCTCTGAGTTTTGCATGATTTGAATATAGCCTTGCATGGTAAGAGTAAGATCCATGTCTCCACCTACTTATGTTCTCAGTCCTTCCCACCACTGCATCTGGTCCTGCCCTCCACTGCATGTGGCCCCCGAAAGGTTCCCTATGAGGGGATCTGGCCCCTGTGGGCTGAAAAGAATGTCTCCTGCCCCGGAAATCAAGCTTAAGTATGCAAAACTGAATTAAATCCTTTTTAAAAAAGTTTAGGTGGGGAGAAAGGAAAACCAGGAGGTGGGGATCTTAAATGAAAAGATGTGACTTGAGTCACCAGCTTCACGTCAGGAATGTGCTCTTTTTGCAGAAAACCACAATTCTGGCAGCACGGCAAACCAGAGAGGTTTTGATTTGCAAAGGAGAGCCTAACTGCAAACAGCTTACATCCAGCCTTTGCCAATGCGGTGCCCTCCAGATGTTTGAGGACTACAACTCCCATAACCCCTGGCCAATAGAGCACAGCTGGGAGCACCAGGTTGGTTGGCCCAAATCTCTTTGGGGGACGCGTTTCAGAAGTAGGACTCGATCCAGAAGCAGAAAATAACACTTGCGTGCATTTACAATGAAACCATGTGGAAAGTTCGCCCCCACCTGCAGATGCAGGTGCAAAAGAGGCTCCCTTTCCCACGATGCATGACTCTTGCTAACATCTGGCAGCTGCCCAGGGGTTGCTTGTTTTTGCAGATCAGGCCAGAGGCAGCAGTTGATTTTCAGAGCAGACAGAATTACACAAGGCATAATTATTAATTAACAGGTGGGATTCGACGTGCCAAGGTCCAGCAATGGTTGCTGCCTTAGATTAAGGCTTCCTAGCTGGCAGTGAGCATATAAAGCCACTTCCAGACAACCTCTTTATCAAACAGTTATCCTGATCTGTCTGCAGGGATGTCAGATGATGTTAACTATTTCAGGAGCCTTCGTTCTAATTTGTTTGTGGGGAGGTTAGATGACGTTGTGTCAAACAGAGCACCAGTCCCACACTTCCTGGGGTGGATCTACACACAGGAAAAAACCGCTATAAATATGTCAGAAATTAAATGGTTATAACAAAAGGGGGGGGACCTATGTAAATACTGCATAGAAAATTTGTTTGCTCTCTGGCATCATCTGGTGTTGCATGTTCATAACACATTCAAAGTGTTGTTTTTTGACTAATGTGGCTGAGTCCCTAGTATGTTTGGCCACTTCTTTCCTCTATCACAAGAAGTTTGATCTTCCAGGGAAGCAGGTTTTGTCATGCAAAAGCTCCCAAACTGCTATGGCCTCTTTGAGGCTGCCGCTGTTGGCATAAGAAGAATACTGTAGCCATCTAGTCCGGCCTCCTGTTCTCACCGTGGGCATCCAGGTGCCCCATTGGGGATCCCAGAAGCAGGTCCTGAGCACCAGCGCTGATGGGAACTGGAGTCTAACAACCTTCTCTTGACCCCATCGGCATAAGAAGCATGACAGAAGAGAGAGCCTTTTCTGCGGCTGCTTCCATATTGTGGAATCCCCTCCCAAGAGAGGCCAGGCTGAGGCTGGCTCCCTCCTCGCTTGCTCTTTCCACCAGCAGGCTGAGCGAAATCTTCCTGTTCAAACAGACCTTTGGAAACAGGGGACTCAGCTACATTGGCAAAGAAGAAACACTTTATATTCATTGCTTATGCATTCTAACACTGCGACGCCAGATGGCACTGTGGAGTTCCATTTTTGCCAACCCGATTTCTCATACAAAGTTTGCAATGCATTTAATTGAAACGCTTCTTTGATGTGTCTAGATTGAGCCTGAGGTGCAGGCGATGCTGATCACTGGGCTGCTGTCAGGTCAGGCTGTGCTTTAATACCTAGTTTTAAACGTGTTATGATGCATTACAATCTCTGCTTTTAACTAGGTTGTTTTTATTGCTTTGTATTTTTGTCCTCAAATGTTGTAAGCTGCCTTGGATCCCAACCTGGGAATAATAATAATAATAATAATACAGTAATAATAATACAGTAATAATAATAAATATTACTTATTACTTATACCCCACCCCTCTGACTGCTTTCACCCAGCTACTCTGGGTGGCTTCCAGCATGAAAGCTTCCCGATACAGGGCTGCCTTCAGATGTCTCTGGAAAGTCTGCAGTTGTCTATCCCCTTGACATCTGAAGGGAGGGCGTTCCACAGGGTGGGTGCCACCACCGAGAAAGCCCTCTGCCTGGTTCCCTGTAACTTTGCTTCACACAGTGAGGGAACTGCCAGATGGCCCTTGGAGCTGGACCTCAGTGTCTGGGCTGGACGATGGGGGTGAAGACGCTCCTTCAGGTATACTGGGCCGAGACTGTTTAGGGCTTTAAAGGTCAGCACCAACATTTTGAATTGTGCTCAGAAATGAACTGGGAGCCAATATACAAATGCATTAAACAATGACAAAATCACATTGGGAGTGTCACAGACTAGCCATTCTTTTGTTAAGTGAGACATGAAGAAATTCTTGATTTGTCTTTTTCTGCTGCCCTGGAGCTGCTGCTAAGTCTGTTTCTTGCAGGGACCTGGTTTTAAAATCTTACAGTCCTCCTTAAAATGCAATCCGCAGCCCAGTACCCTCCTGATGTTGTGGAACTACAGCTCCCGTCAGCCCCAGCCAGTGGGAATCGTAGTTCCCAAAGATGTGCAAGGGTTGGCTGATGAACATGTACAGAGTTACTCTTTCAGAGCTTAGTTAGTGCAAATGCAGGACCCATTTCCCCTTCCCTCTAGCATACTTCCCTCTGCAGGAAGATCATTCAACCCGAGCAGCTGCTCTACTGGGCAAAAGCTCCACCTGTTGGTTCCACCACAACTATAAAAAGCACAGGAGCCCCTTCAGCTGAAGCAGGGAGTGGGAAGGAGGAAGTGGGAAACTTATGACTATATTGCTGCTGGTGGTGGGTTCCCTCCTCCCGAAAAGAAATGGGAAATGGGTCATAGGAGGAACTGACTACTTTGCTGCAAGCCATGAAGCGGTTTTCTTCAGGCACAAAATCTGAGCTGCTTCTTCACACACACACACACACACACACGTTTGCTAAACTATCTCACATGTATCCCTCCTTTCCTCCAACTAGCTTGAGGGGGCGCTATATCCTCTCAGCAACCCTGTGAGGTAGCTTAGGATGGGAGGCAGTAATGGATGGGCCAAAGTTGCCCCTATGGGAGCTTAATGGCTGAATTTGGCGGTGGCGGTGGCGGTGAGATTTGGTCTATTTGTCCAAAATGCCACAGCCAGACTACTGGCTGGGATTCCGTTTAGATCCCACATAACCCGTCTTAAAAGCAGCTGCACCGGTTGCCGGTTTGTTTCTGGGCCCCATTCAAGGTGCCATGATGGCAGGGGGTTGGACTAGATGACCCCTTTGGGTCTCTTGGAACCCTGTGTAAATAAAAACACACCTGAATGTGAAAGTGAAGCAAGAGCACTCCCTGGTGGGACAGGCCCAAAGTAAATCAATATATACTGTTCTGCACACCAGTAGATTGTGGGAAATGTATAAATTGTCCCTGGGCCTCTTCAGAGCCACCCTGCAGCATCATAGAGGCAGAAACTTTAAAAGGGGTGAGAGAAGCAGAGCTTAACCTCTGATACAGGCTTTGCGGAGGCAGCTATTCAGAAGCCAGTGATGTAAAAAGAAAAAGGCAGAGAAGTTTAACTCCTGGCTAGAAGCATCAGTTGCAGGCATCTCAACTATTCAACTGGCAGAAGCAGGAGGCTGAGAGATGGGGGGGGGGAGGCGGGGGGGATGCTCTGGGGCAGTGTGAGGTAGTGGTTAAGACACTGAGCTAGGGACTGGGAGCAGAATTGGGAGGCCTTTTGCTGTAGCTGCTGTCATCATGGCGTTGCATGTTTACCTGAGCCGAGTAAGGCTGTAACCATGTCAGAGATCTGAGGGAGACCACCAGCTGAGCATGTAGAACAGCCCCCGATTGAATCGCTGGCAGTTCCAGTTTTAGAAATAATCTCAGCCAGCCAGCCAAAGTAGGCATCCCTAAGTGAAATGGACCAATGTTCCTGCATTGCAGAGGGTGGGCTACATGGCCACAGGGTCCCTTCCAACTCCGTGTAAGGCAGCTGCTACGTGGTTTGTGTCCATGTAGGAGAAAGGTTGTGGTTGCCTTACAACCCATACATTTAAGGCTCCCCCCCGCAAAAAAATCCTGGGAACTGTAGCTGCGTTTCCCAGCACCCCAACAAATGACAGTTCCCAGGATTCTTCGGAGGTTAAATGTAGTGTGGCCAAACCGCTTTTTTCCTCTGTCGAGGGAGAGAGAGAAGTAATGATTCTTATTAAAAAAGGATTAAATGAGTTTACATAGATCTCCTGATAGCTATTTATGCACAATAGAGCCTCCAGATATAGAAGCAATATATCCTGGGAGTACCAGTAAACAGGGCAAGCTGCTGCTCGTTTCTGGCTGTTGTGGGGAAAACACCCAGTGTAATGAACCATGGATTATTACGTAAACGAGCCATTGGCTCTGCAGAAGTGTCTCTGCCAGTTCACAGGTCTGCTAGAAAAAAAGAAGAAACCTATGTCCAGTCTCATTAAGAACCACGATCTGGAATCTTCCTTTATGTTTTTTGCAAGTAGCTCAGTGATGAGGGGGGTGGGCTGCAGCGCAGTGCACTATGGGTAAAGTGGCATTGGGGTGGGGAGGTGGGCAATGTTCAGGCTCTTGGGCAGGAGAGATGGATGCTGCCTTCTGTACCAAGGTTTTTCTTCTTACTGCCAGGCTGTGCCCCATTGCAAGCATGCTCAGGGTGCCTTGTGGGTCACGGAGCATCACGGGTACAGGGAAGGGTTGCAGCTCAGCAGCAGAACACCTGCCTTGCATGTAGAAGGCCCCAAATTCAATCCCCAATGGCATTTCCAGGAAAGCTGGGGAGATCCTAATCCTCGAGGTGTCAGGTACACACCACTTTTGAAGTACTGGTCAGGTGACACCCCCCCCCCCGCAATGCCCCACCTCTGGAAACAGACCCTAAAGCACAGCCTGATGAGATGCTGAATCCCAATGTCTTCTTGAAGAAAGAAGTCTATTCCACAGCACACGAGCCTGAGCTGGCACAGTGGTCCAAGTTAATCTGGCCCTGGGGGAAACACCATATTTCAGTATTCTTAAAACCCACCAGCTGAAATTCAGGCAAAAAGAAACTCTTCTCTCATCAACGCTGAGCACAACATCATGAATAAAACATATGGCATATCGTTTATTTTGCATAATTGCTCTGTTAAGCCAGGGCAAGGGACAAAAGGCCGACACGAAAAACAGTAAAATGCTTCTGAGATATGGGCCCACAGACATCATCAAGCTGGTCCTGTTCATCATGAGGGCTAGAAACTTGATTTTTTTTAAAGTACAAAAAAAGGGGGGGGAGAACTAGAAATTATCCAGATGCTGAATTCTGCAGTCATTACTAAAAAGTTATTGTTGCTTTTAAATCGCAAAGTGGTTGGTGCCATATTTTTGGGACGCCGGGAGATCAATCCTTGCGCTTTGGCAAACAATGGCTGAGTTTTGCAAGATAGAAACGAGAATCGCCGTGGGCTTTTAAAAGAATTTATCCTGATCTTTCATTTTTCCTTCTCAGAAAAGACAGAACTGCATTGTTACACTATTCAATATCATATACATAACATCTGGAACACGAGAGGAACAGTCTTCCGCTCTATCCAAAGCCTGGGGTTCACCCCACTTTCAACTGTGATTTCTGAAAGAAGACAGTGGTAGATTCCAAGAATTCAGGCTTCATGACAAATGTTAAGTATATTTCCATGACGATCACACATCTCTGGAACAAGGTTCCCATCGTCTCATCTCAATTCTTACTCCCCACCCCCTAGAACAGGTGAGCAGGATAATGCCTGGATTGGGATAGAGAGACAGGTATGTGTGTTCTTTCCCCCCCACTGAAGAAGGGGGGGGGGGGGAGAGGGGAAGACATCACCAGGAAACAGATGGACAGGAAACCTGTTCAGATTAGATCTGCTTGTTTCCAGAATTGTGTGAGCGCCAGGGGAAGATCGCAGCCCTGTCCCGTTTCACATTAAGAGAGGGATGGATACAAAGGGGACCCACGTGAACCCCGAAATCCTCAACAATGCAACGACAACAAAAAGCTTTTGTGCTACGGATGCTTTTTATGGCTTGGAAATGTCCCCCGTCCTGAAGCATTACAAGAAAAAAGAAAGCCAAGAGGGTTCCGCTAATGAGCGAGGCCCACTTTTAATTGCACAGGTTATGGGAGGAAACAGGGCCAGCTTCAATGGTGGATACCTTCAGTCTCATCATCCCAGAAGGCAAACACCACACTTGCTTGTCTGGGTTTCCAGAGAACAGAGGAACCTGAAGGCTTCCTTCAGGACAAGCCATGCCTACTTTTTCCTTGACTAGCCAACTGCAGCCAGCTCCGATGTCCCCCAACTTCCTTGTTGTTCCCAGTGCCCCCTATACATTATGGGGAGAGCACAATGCCCTAAAGACATACACATCATTCAAGCCCTGGTGGGGGGCTTGGCGGCTGCTGGGAAGGGGGGGGGGGAATTTGAGAAAGTTGCTAGCCCAGCAGGGTGAACCGTTGGGGTGGGGGCAGGCAGACCCCTCCATTTCATTAACACTGCTCGAGGGAGATAACGTGCAAGACCTGAACACACGAGTGCGGACGCTAGTGAAACGAGTGTGCGGCAACGAGTTTCTCTATATGCCTCGGGTGTTCACAGGTGACGGAATTACACAGCGCTTTAAGCATCATTTCAGGGGGCAAATTCTGCCCCCATTCCCTGACATCGTATAAACAAGAATACAATTTTGATATATTTATATATATATGTATATATGTATAAAAGGTTATGGCGTAGGGTGTTTCTTTTTTAAAAAACCAAACACCCATTGAGCTTTTAAAAATCCCTGATGATCGCACACTGAGCATCGTCCACTCATCGGGCTCCCCAAGTCCTCGCGACTGCTTTTGGACTCTGCACACGCGGCTTTCTCCAAAACACAACCGGTTTGCGGCAGGTCTGCCGGGAAGGAGGGAAACAGCGGCCTCGCCGGAGGCTCCACCCAAGTTGGGAACGAGCCGGACTCCCTCTGCGACGCCTCGCCTGCAGCGCTTCTGCTTCCCAGAAGTAGGAAGACTATAGCAGTCTTTGACAGAAGTTAGAAAGGGTTGGGGGAGTCACAAACACTCCTCCCTTCCTGCGTCGCTACACGGGGGGCCAGGGAAACTGCACCGTCTGCATAGATCTTTTCCCATCCTTATTCCGAAAAGGGAGGGAACATGTTCAGCTCGGGAAACTCTTCGTTGTTGTAGCTGGCTCCCTGTTCCCCCAGCATGGACAACATGTCCTGTAAATGAAAGGGAATTCGAAAATGAGAATGAAATTATCGTTGCTTGGGTGACAGTGCCCTGTTATCTTCTAGGACGGGCAGAAAGTGGTTCCTGAATGCAGGAGAAGGGTTTCCTACTTGCAAACCTTTAACAGCGCCCCCTAAAATGAACCCCACCCTCAATTGTGCTATGTAAAACCTTTATCCGTATTAACTCAGATTGCTTCTGCATCATACATTTAAAGCACCCTTATACCACTTTAATAGTTACGGTTTCCCAGAAAGAATCCCAGGGACTGTCGTTTGTTAAGGGTGCTGTGAGAGGATCTAGAGCTGCTGCCGGTCTGTGTAGACAATACTGAGTTAGGTGGACCAACGGTCTCGCTCAGTATAGTGCAGCTTCTTGGGTTATCAGTGCTTTTAAATAAATCAAAGATGGGGAAATAGTGTCGGCTGCTGGAGGTTTAAATCCTGGTTTGGATCCCTAGCAAGAGGATCCTTGGTGTCTTGGCCTCTGTTTATAAAACAGGGGGGCAGGTAAAGTTACTGGAATCGTGGCGGAGGGGAGGTTGACTGACCGGGAAGACTTCCGACTGGTTTGGTGGTGGCTGCTGGGCGTGCGACTCGCTTGGACTCTGTCCGTGGTGCTGACCCTGCCACTGCGACCACACGGCGACCCCCTCCGCTGCCCGGGGCTGGAACGGGGCTGGGGCCTGCCCGCTCTCTCCAGCAGCTTTGAAAGGAACAAAAATGCGGTTAGCACCGAGTGTAGGAGACAGACTGTTCTTTCCCCATGCCCTTGATAACACGCTTTGGTCTAGATTGACTGGTTTGGCTTAGAAGGAGTTGGTGGGCGGAAACGCCCTGCTTTGGGCTGCAGAAAGAGGTCTAACAATCAGAAGTGGGACAGAAGGTAGATCCCAGGTGGATTCACAGGAGATGCCCTCCCTTGTGAGGTGCGCCTGTCTCCCTTGTTATTGACATTCAGGAAGCATTTGAAAGTATTCCTGTTGGAAGTCTGAAAAATACTGTTCCCGGCAACCATGAAATGATTGTGTGGTTAATGGCATGCTCTGAATAACTCTTGCAATGTTACAGAGACTTTGGACATGTTGGAGAACTGAAATTTGGATGAACTCTAATATGCAGTTGATTAAGAAACTTAAAAGCACCCACAGAGGGGAGGAGAGTAGTCCTAAGATTTGGGAGAATCTTGTTTTATTTGAAACTTTTCTTTTATTGAAAAATGTTAATCGTGATTTATTTTGTAAAACCAATAAAAATTATTTCAAAAAAGAATTGATTGTGCAATTGTTTCCACAACAAACACATTTAAAAGGATGTAGAATATTAATCAGCCAAAGGCTTGGTTGAAGGGAAATGCTTTTGCCTGGCGCCTAAAGATATGCAAGGAAGGTGCCAGGTGGGCCTCCCTGGGGAGAGCATTCCACAAGCGGGGAGCCACTACAGAAAAGGTCCTGTTCTCATGTTGCCAGCCTCTGGACCTCTCTTAGAGGAGGCACATGAAAAAGGGACTCAGATGATGATCTCAGGGTCCAGGTAGGTTCATATGGAGAGAGGCGGTCCTTGCGGGCTCCTGTTATGTTCAGGCATGGTCTCCCCAGCCCTAGCAGAAGGTGCCTGGAATTGAACCTGGGACTTTCTGCAAGCAAAGCGGGTATTCTTCTGCTGAGCTCCGGCCCTTCCTGCTGTGCTCAACATACACGCCCATCATTTCACAGCGTTGCTTCTGCAGAACGAGGAACTGCACGGCGACAGAGTCCTGCCTCTTCAGCAGAAGGATCACCGCTTGCAACTTCCAAACCCGGTGGGGAACACTCACCAAAGCTGGCGTTGCGGCTGGCAAGGCTTGGGTAGGCAGACCCGCCTGGCGAAGCTGTGGAGCCTTGTGTCGACATGGGGCTGAAGGAGGACGGGGTGCCTTGGAAGGTGCCCATGGCAAAGGAAGGCGGCCGAGTCTTAACAGCGTGGGAAGCCGCCTGCTAGAAGAGCACAAAAAAGAAATTTAAACAGTGAGCAGATAAATAAAAAGCAACTGGTAGGTTACAGGAAGCTGGAGTGTATGTCCTTGCAGGAACAAAATGTCCTTCCTTGGAGATTTTTAAGCAAAGGCTGGATGGCCGTCGGTTATGTACAATCTCGTTGAGATTCCTGCATTGCAGGGGGTTGGACTAGATGACCACCAGATGTCCCTTCCAACTCTACAGTTCTATGATTCTATGAGACAGAAGCTTCCTATACTCCTAAACCAGGCCCAGTTCCAGCTCCTCCAGCAAACACGGCAGCTTGTGACTATTCGACACAAAACTGTGGCTAAGCCCACTTCGTACTAGGGATGCCCATATATATGGTTTGTAGGAAAAAGACAAAAACTACCTGGGGAGTGAAAGACGTGCGTGTCGTCCCTGAAGCCCACGTGGTCCCGGAGACCTGATCGGGATTGGAGTGGCGAGAGATCTGGGCCAGGATCTGACCCGCCGAGGCTGAATGCGGTGCCGTGGGCAGCTGCTGCTGAATGACGTTCACGGGGGGCACCATCGTGCTGCTCCTACAGAGGCGAGGAAGAGGGCAGAGTTAAGGGAGGAAAGGCCAGTGTGGCTGAAGAGGCACGTAGAGAGCTGACATGCAATTCATTCTTTCATTTGTTCGCTCAGTTTCTGTCTCGCCTTTCTTCCGAGGAGCTCAAGGCGGCATATGTGGTGTCCCCCCCGCCCCCTTTGATGTAGGTTAAGCTGGGAGACTGTGAGCTTGATGGCTGAGTGAGGATCTGAACCCTCACTCACTCTAACCGCTGCACTGCGGAGGCTGGGCTAAACTGGAAAGGAACCTCAGCCAATTGCAGGAGTCTTGAGACTATCCCTTGGACCTCACCTGAAGTTCTCGGCGGGACGAGGAGCTATGAAACTGCTTCCCTGAGAGAAGAGGGACTGGCTGGAGGGCAGAGAGCCAGAAGAGACGGCTTTCGTCTGGTCTGATTGAGAGAGAGAGAGAAGAATGGTTAGCCCCGACCTGGCCACCCAAGAACGGGATATTGGGCGGTATCCAACGAAGACCTACTGATACTAATGGGCCTTATTCCGAGAGACTGGCTCTCTCCTTGCCCTTCCTGCTGGCAGATGAAGATAAATTTATTCTGACAGGCTTTTGGGAATGACTGTTTTTAAGGAAAGGGCTTCTGACACTGCCGTGCTGCTTTTTTATTATCTATATTTCAATCTGCCTTTATGCTATTTTCATTCCACTCTGGTTTAAACAAACAATTTTAAAATACGCTTTTAGCTTCTTGTACTTTCTCTGTGCCACTTTAACTTGTGTAAGTCGCCTTGAGTCCCGGGCTGGGGAGAAGGCAGGATTTATAAATTAAACAGCTAAATAAGGAACAAATCCACCACCTTCGTTAATTTCAAGGGTCCCTTGTTCTTAGCAGGACTAATGCTGGATCCAACTCATAGGAAGCTATAGCAAAAAGGCTGCTTGGGCCCATCTCGCCCAGGACTGTCGACACTGACAGCAGCGCCTCTCCAAGGTTTCAGGTGAGGACGGATGTCCCCAGCCCTACCTGGATATGCCCCTGGGGATTGAACTTGGGACCTTTGGCGTTCCCCAAGATTTCTCTCTTTTTTCTCCCAGGGGATGGACTGACATGGCAACCGATTACCGGCTCTGATTTCCCACCCCCCGACGCCAACCCTCTCACCTGTGCTGATGCTGCTGTAAATTTCACTGAAGCGAGGGTCCCGCTCCTGACTGAAGAGGGTCTCTGCTTTCTCCAGAGGTTTGCCATGGTCCGGGCCGGTGGTGGCCACCGGTTGAACGGCAGCCTGGAAGGAGATGAGCAAACACAGGGTTGCACAGTCAGCTCAGTTCTACTCCTGAGTAGATCCTCTGAAATCAACGTGCCTAAGGTCAGTCAAACCCATTAACTGCAGAGAGTCTTGAGTATGATTAATGTTGGATACAATCTGCAGGTGTCAACATGTGCACACACAACTAAATAAGTGATTAGCCCAGGGATTTATTTCCATTTCCATCCCCCACCCCGTCCCGAGAGTTCAGGGCACCATACCCCATTCCTCCTCCCCTAATTTTATCCTCACAACTACCCCGAGAAGTGGGTTAGGCTGAGAGATGGCAACTGGGCCCCTGGACACCCCAATAAGCTTCACAGCTGAGCAAGGATTGGAATCTAGGTGTGTACTAACATAAATCCTGCAATGTGCCACTTAAATGAGAGTGGACGGGGTGGGAGAATCCTGTCTGAATTGCCCCTCCACAAAATCTATGTTTTCAGTTGTGTGCATGCAAAGGGGGCAGGCTGAAGGATGACTGAAGAGGGGAGTTATGAAAAAAAAGAAGTCATTTCTTCCTCTCATGCCACTGCAGTCCTGTACTGAACGACTCCTCTAGTCGCCAATGGCGACTGGCAACTCCACAGAGGTGAGCGCCGTGAGTTCCTTCCAGTGGAGTGTGTGGTCTACCAAAGGTGGGACACAGTGATCCGTGTCAGTGGGTGTGTTTGTGTGTGCCCTCTGCCAGGTCTCAATTTGGGGCAGGGAGCTGGGACGAGTCCCCATGGAACCTCTTGGAACCTTTGCCGATTTACCTGGGCGTGGTCGTAACTGGCTAAGCTCTCCCTGACGGGGACCACGTCGACGTCTGTTGGCTGCGTCGCCTGCTGCCTGAAACACAAGCCATTGTTAAGAGGTTAGGAGCTGGTTGTGGGTCAGAGGAAAGTGCCACAGAGCAGGGAGAGGAACTGAGAAGAGCTTACAAGGTGCTCCGACACCTACATGCCCCGGGGGCCTTGGGATAGACCCCTCACAGAGCAAAGGGCCCCAGGGTGACTCCAGCCAGCCCTCCCCCGCTTACCTCGTCGCCAGCTGGGCAGGACTCATCTCCAAAGGCAGGCTGGCGTTTGGGCCCAGTTGGGGCCGCTGCATCTGATTGGCCAAGGCAGGCCGGGACTCCTGGCTGGCGTTCCTGGGGGGTCATCGGGGAAGGGAAGGTCAGGGATCGGAGGGAGCCAATTGCAACCCTCAGAGCGTTCCAGCGAGCCAGGGGGTCTTTATGCCCCTCCCTCCTCTCAAGGCTGTTTTTGGCGCCTGCTGAAGTCTTTTTTGCTACCCCAGACACACAATTCTTTTTACACGTATCTGTTGGTTTTAAATCTGCATCTTGATAAATTTCAGGCACATTTGTTTTTAAAGCTTGATTGTAATCAGTTTAAAAACAAAACACGTTACACTGTTCTATGTAAGCGACTCCATAATAAATGCAAAATCTGGCTTTGATTTCTCTGAAGCTCCCCATCTGAAGCTGGTATATGGAAATGGAATGGATGAGTGTATGGGTGTGTGGGGTTCTTCCCACCCCCAAGTGAAGGGGCAGAAATAAATTGTGCATAAGCTTACTCAAGCCGACTGCCACAACCATCTCTCAGAGGTCACCCGCCCCTCCACACCACCACAAAATTATTTTAAAAATAGACTGAAAGATGGGCAGTGGGCAGATAATTGAGAGCAGTCTCCAATGTTGATACTACTCAAAGCAGAGCTACTGAAATCAATCAACATAACTTAGTTCCATTCATTTCAATGGGTCTACTCTCAGTAAAACTTAGCTGGAGATGATTCTTAGTCTTTAGCTCAACCTGCAAATGTGTCCCAGTTTCAGATTTGGGGATGGTGAATGTATGGATTCACTCAAGGAAATGACACTAACATGACAATATGGGGCAGACCAAGAGGAGAGCTGGTGTCCTGATGGCTGAGGGGGGCGGCATTATGGGTCGCATCCCATGCCAGTCCTACTCAGCAGCAGACCCAATAAAACTAATGAACCTCCTGCTGCGGATCTGGGCCTATGGCTGGCCACTGCGAGAACAGGATGCTGAATGGGCCATTGGCCTGATCCAGCAGGCTTTTCTTATGTTCTCCAAGGTAGTCATGTTCTGTAGGTCTGCTCCAATTAAGGCTAGCGTATTCCCTGACATCACAGCAGCCTGTCCAATCAAGAGCAAAAGAGGGGGATACTCAGAGCAGACAGGCGGTTTAGACCAAGGGAAGGGCAGAAAGTAGACTGTGGGGAGATCTCAGGGCAATTTTGCAGTAGATCAACAAGGGTTTCTGACCCCAGAGCAAGAAAAAGCAAGTTAGGCAGCTAAAATGAAGAAATCTGAACTCACAGTTAGCAGATTTTTGTGTGTGTGCAAAAGAGCTGTGACCTCTAGCACTGGAAACAAATCCCTACACTCAGAAATGGGACTGGAGGTTGCTTGCTCCTTAATTCTAAGGGCGGCAGCTAACTAAGTACCAGTCAGGGCAGACATATGGAAATCTATGGACCTAAGTTAGCCTGTCCACTGATTTCAGTGAGTCGACTCTGCATAGGACTAGCATCGGGTACCCAAAGGCCACATTCATACCATAAATTTAAAGCACGGTGATGCGACTTTAAAGAGCCATGGCTTCCCCCCAAGGAATCCTGGGAGCTGTAGTTGATGCTGAGAGTGTTTAGAAAGAGTGCCATGTTCCTCTCCCAGAGCTACAATTCCCAGAGGCGCTTATCCCTCTTTCCCATGAAACTCTGGGAATTGTAGTTCTGGGAGGGGGAATAGAGGGCCTTCTAACAACTCCCAGCACCCTTAACAAATGACATTCTCCCTAATTCTTTGAGGGAAGCTGCGACTTTTCAAAGTTGTATTTAAAAGTGAATGTGCCCTGCCTAATTTTGCATCTGGCTGGTAGGTCTTGGGGTTCAACTGAACAACAACAGCAACGACAAAAAAAGCTAAGGAGATTTGACAACCCAGAAGCAGAAACTTATTTTAATGCATTTTACTTAAAAAGAGGCTGGAATGAAGCTAAAGAGGAGTTTTTTGGGGTGGGAGACTGCAAAGCCCCCTCCGCCCTGCAAGTCTTTTGAGGACACAGCGAAAGAGCAGGCCCCGCTGCCAGTGGGGTGGGTGGGGGTGGCACAAGGGGTCCCCGCGTACGTACTTCACATTGGTGTTGGTACAGATGATGTACTCTATCTCGTCTGAGTAGGGGTTCTGGAAGGTGAAGGAGCTAGTTCTCATCCAGAGCCATTCTTGGTTCTTGGACCGGAAACGGAACATGACGGACAGAACTTGGCCTTTTAACTTCACCACCTGGAAAAACGGGGTGGGGGGGTGGGTGTTTGTTTTGGTTTTACGCCGGCAACAGCAGCAGCCACAGCAGAGGGGTGGAAAAGAAGCCCCCCCAAAAACAAGACATGCAGTTCCTGAAAGGGCAGCGCTTATCCTAAGATCCAAGATCAGAAGAACCCCAAGTAAAGCTCCGCCACTTTGGAGCTTCCCAATCTTAGCCCCCCCATTTCAGCTTTCTAAAAAATGCCAGCAAAGGGGGCTAGTGCAAGAGACGACATTGTGTTGGGGGCTGCAACTTGCCTGCCCTCTTTTAATGCCACCACTGGCTACAATTCCTCCTTGCCTGGGATTTTGGAGGTTGCTTTCCCTGGGGCAGGGCTTCCCCCTATGCCTCTCACCCCCCCTGCTTTGCACCCCAAAGGCGGTTTTGCCTGGCTGGAGATGTTTCCTCGAACTCTGATCCTGCCTCTCGCTCACCTGGACAGAAGACAGAGAGGCATCTGTGTGTGTGTGTGTGTGTGTGTGTGTAGGAACAAATCTATACTACAGAACTCAAATTTACGTTCTTGGCCCCACCCACTTTTGACTCTAGCCCCACCCACCAGTGGCATGTGGCCCCCGGAAGGTTGCCAAGAACGGAATGCGGCCCTCGAGATGAAAAAGTGTTTCTGCTTCCCGCACTAGGGCACCTGGCAGTTATTTATTACCATTTTCCGCAGATGTTGATGGTTATGGGGTGGAATGCAGGATTGTGAAGGTCGTGAAAAGCCAGCTTCCCCTCCCTCCCTCCCGGGGCTTTGGAAAGATGGCCTGAAGTTTGTGCTCCAGACCAGGGAACGGATTGGTCTATAAGGCAGGCATGTGTGCAACCTCTGGATCTTGCTGAACTACGACTCCCACCAGCCCTGACGGCAAGCGTGGCCAGGGAGGAGCAGGATGGGAGTTGTAGTTCAGCAACCTCAGGAGGGCCCAAGGCTCCCCTTGCCTGCTCCGACGGCATTCAAAACGCGTTTGCCAAGGGGTGTGTGCTGGGTTGTTGTGCAGATGCCAGGCTGAATCAGTCATGGACTCGTGGCTGGTTTACCTGCTGGAAGCTGTCCCTCAAAAGCTGGTGGTCTTCCGGATGGCAGAAGTCAACAATATCCTTTCCCAAGAGTTCCTAATTTTTTTGTGGAGGGGGCAGGGAGAGAGAGAAAGAGTCAGACTGTCACTGCTGAAGGCAGGTTACCTCTGAATAAAACCAGCCGCTGGGAATAGCAAGTCGGGAGAGCTGTTGCTGTTGCATGTGGGTCTCCTTGTGAGCTTCCCTATGGGGCATCTGGGTGGTGTGCTATACTAAGGTTACCAGATTTTTTTCAGTGAATCTGGGGAGACTTTTCAACTTCAGTAGGAATGATAAGATTTTGTCAGAGGACTGATTTCTAAATCGGGGGACTGTCCCCAGGAAACCTTATGCTATACGCAGCTTTCATTGATTTGAAAGCTGCATTCAACTCAATTTCGCGAGTAAGACTCTGGGAGAAGCTGAACTCCTCAAATATAGGCAAAAGACTGCTGTACTTGATTAAATGCTTATACAATGATACTATGATGAAAGGTGCGCTGCTCTACAAATGGACAACTTACAAGTCACAAAGGGAGTTAAGCAAGGGTGTATTTTAGCCCCGGCACTGTTTAACTTATATATAAATGATATTGTCCAGGATGCTGGACTAAGTGGGCTTTTGGCCTGGACCCAGGGAGCCAATGTGCACCCCCTCCTCCAGTTCCCCGCACCTGCGGCTGGTAGCCAACGGTGGCCACGCAGCGGTGGTCGACGAAGGTGAAGAGGCAGTCGGTGTTGTGCCGCGAGATGAACTCTGTGGGCTGGCAAACGGTGTTTATGTCCACACAGCTGGGCGAGCTCGTGACCTGCAAGGGAAGGGAGACGCCAAGGTGTTAGGGGCCGGTTACAGAGTGGGGGCTCGGCAGGGATTGGGCTTCCCGCTTGGAGGAGAGACAGCCCTTTCCCCTGTAAGAAGGCGAGTCAGCAAGCGAGGGGAGGCAGTAAACTCTGCGGAAGGCCCCTGATTATTTCTCTCCTTTCTCTTCTTCAGCAGCGGATTCTCCCTAAGAGCTGGGAGACGTGAGGGACTGGGCCCTAATCTCTGCCATGCGCTCACCAAACTGGCCATCTCGCAGGGATTATTTAGCCATGATTCCCTCATTGCAGGGGGTTGGACTAGATGGCCCTTGGGTTGCCCTTCCAACTCTCCTACAATTCTACAAAAGTGGCCTCAGGCAAGCTGCCAGCCCCGCCCTGGAGCAACACAGGGGACAGCAATTGTGGTGCGGCTTTTGAGGCTGCCAGATAAGGACACCTGCTGCGATAAGGTACGAAGAAGGCTCAGCAATCGATGGCAACCTGGTTCCCGCGTCCTTTTGGGGCTTGAGGGAAAGGCTAACTCACCTGCAGCCTGCCGATGGCCACCAGGCAGAACTTGCTCCCCTGCCCAGCATCTGGGTCGTCATCCGGGAGGGAGACCCCTGTGGGTGGCAAGAAGGAGGAGTTCAGCTCAGATCCAGGACAGGCTTTTCTCAAAGGTGGGTTCTGGTCTTAGTGGGTTAAAAATATATATGTTATCGACCCCATGTGGCTGGTAGAGTGGGAGAAATTTGGTGGAGGTAGAGAAGGACCAGCATTGTGTGAAACACTTCTGAACCAAGGGGTAATTGGAAACCTTTGAAAACGGGGGTCTCCATGCGGAAACGCTCGCGGGGTAAAATTAGTGGGGATTTTGCTATGGGAAAGGAGGGAGAAAACAACTGACAGAGGGGAAGAAGAAGGGATGCAGTACATTTTTAAAAAATTGCTAGTAAATTAAAAAAAGAAAGATGAGGGTAAGACGGAAGTGAAAGAACCTCAGAAAGGAAAATTGACAGTTATGTAGAAGAAAAAATGAAAACAAGGGAAAGAAAATCTGAGCAAGTTAGGATGCATGGCATTATTTATGCATAGATGCAACCTGAGCATAGGATGGAGGGGCTCACAGCATTAAAACTCCAGCAGATATTGCCTCCTCATTAAGTTCCCAGCAAGATTATCAAATTGTAGCTTTGGATCCAGAACAGAGCAGGACAATCCTGTGTGTCTCCAGGTTCCAGCATAGAACAACACACACACACATTTTCTCTCTCTCTTTTTCACACAGAGCGCCCCCTGGCCTATCGTTCTCCAGCCTAGGATGACTTGGCATACAGACAGGTAAGGTGGGAAAAGACCCCCCCCCATTGGTCTCTACGGCAACCAGGCCCGCTCTTTGGACATGTAAATGGCAGTACTTCAGCGGCCAGCTAAAGCTGGAATCTTGCGAAGAAACTTGTCTGAGCAGTTCAGTGGCCTCTTCTACTAGACTCTAAACCCACTGGATACAAGATCACAGGCCTGGAAGGGACCCATGAATATCGTCCAGACTTCCCGCCCTCCTGATAAAAAACACTTTATTTTTAGAAGAACAGGACTTCAAAGTAACAGGAAATAAATGAATTAGCAGAAACATTAAAAAGGGGGTCTTCCAGAATGAGACATTCAGGTGAGGTTACCTGCTGGTGGCCAGGCTTTGATGTAGCCTGTGCAGTGGACCACGACAAAATGAGGCTCACCATCCTTCACAGCACCCAACCCATTCCTGGAAGGAGGGAACAGAGAGAAATACGTTGCCATGGCTGCATTTGCTGGTCTTACTGGGGTGCGGGGGGGGGGGATGAGAGTCCACCAAAACTCTCAGCAAAGCAACCTGCCAACAAAAACCTCAGCTCTACCCCCTGCACTGATTAAACAAATGTGAGAGGCAGCGGTGGTATAGTGGTTAGAGAATCAGACTAGGACCTGGAAGATCAGAGTTTGACTACTCCGCTTTGCCACATGAAGCTAACATTGGGCTGCTCGCTAGCCCTTATCAGCCAACCAAGCCCTGGCTCCCTGAACAACCAGTTTTACCGGGTCCTGTTTCTCATAAAGCTGAGGCGGTTCATGGAGACTGGATCCACCGTGGCATTGCCGCATCTGCGGAGCGAAGGACAGAAACAAACTCACGTTACTTCCACTTTCACCCAAAGATTCTGGTTCCTCCCGCCCCCTGCAAGACGTTTGTATCTTCACTTAGGGACCAAGCTGGCCCACAACCCTTTGCCTGCTTCCTTGTGGCAGAACTACACAGATTTGCTTCCAGGCAGCCTGGCCAGGGAGCACTCCCAAAAGCCATGCTGTGGCTGCTTCTGGTCATGAAGCTAAGAGTCTACTGGATCAGGCCAGGGGCCCATCTAGTCCAGTGTCCTGTTCTCACAGTGGCTGACCAGAAGCCTCTAGGAACCCCACAAGCAGGAATTGAGGACAAGAGCCCTCTCCCCTCCTGTGGTTTCCAGAAACTTTTATTCAAAAAGAGTTTGGATTTGGTATCCCACCTTTCACTCCCCTTCAGGAGTCTCAAAGCGGCTCACATTCTCCTTTCCCTTCCTCCCCCACAACAAACACCCTGTGAGGTGAGTGGGGCTGAGAGACTTCAAAGAAGTGTGACTGGCCCAAGGTCACCCAGCAGCTGCATGTGGAGGAGCGGAGACGCGAACCCGGTTCCCCAGATTACGAGACTACCGCTCTTAACCACTACACCACACTGGCTCTCTAACAATGCAGTTGCTGATGAATGTGACAGCTAGCCATTTCTGGGGACTTTTAAGGCTGAAGGGGGGAAACCTGGAGCAGGAACCCCCAGCCCAGCCCAGCCTTGCCTGGAACATAACACCCCTGTATGTTTTTTAAATTTGCTGTAAGTCACCTGGAGACTGCTATATATCAGGCAACTGACGAACTGAATATTAATAATACTCTCTCCTTCCTCCTCACCCACACAGCAGCGACGAGTGTGTGAATTAACACTCGTTTCAAAAACTCCCCAATCCATTTATATTTTACAGCAGGAGGCTTTTAAAAAATAATAATACTATTAATATACAGATTTGGCAGTTCGCTGAACAAGTGGTTAGTGGGGCTGTCCTTTTGTGCAATAGATTTTCTACATAAACCGGGTCCCTATTGGAAGCTTTGCTTGGGTTTTCTCAGGGCTGCATTTTTATTTAAAGGTTTGTTCCCTGACCTGGGTATGAACCAGCGGTGTAGAAGTAAATTCTTAAGACACTACGTTGCTTGGCACTTTTATTAACAGAAACATGGCCTTGAATGATCTCTCCTTTTCTGAAAGTTCAGCAATGAATTTATTACCGTATTTACTTGAATCTAATGCTCACCTTTTTTGGCCAAATTACGTTGTGAAAATTAAGGTGTGTGTTAAGATTTGATGGCACATTTACATTTGCCAGCAAATACTTTTTTGGGGTTTCACGGTTCTGAAAATTGAGGCGCACATTAGATTTGATGGCGCAATAGACTCAAGTAAATACGGTAGCTACAGTACACTTCCAAAGCACCATAGCATACTGTTGCATCGCACCAAGGCCCCTTAGCCTGCCCCTCTCACTTTTTCCTAAACTAAAAAGCCATAGATTCTGCTAGAGGAGTTACTGCAGCCCCTGCAGCATCCTGGATCCTTTCATTTGCCCTTCCCTAACCCTTTTCCTTTGGGACGCGGGTGGCGCTGTGGGTTAAACCACAGAGCCTAGGACTTGCTGATCAGAAGGGAGGCGGTTCGAATCCCCGCCACGGGGTGAGCTCCCGTTGCTCGGTCCCTGCTCCTGCCAACCTAGCAGTTCGAAAGCACGTCAAAGTGCAAGTAGATAAATAGGTACCGCTCTGGCGGGAAGGTAAACGGCATTTCTGTGCGCTGCTCTGGTTCGTCAGAAGCGGCTTAGTCATGCTGGCCACATGACCCGGAAGCTGTACGCCGTCTCCCTTGGCCAATAAAGTGAGATGAGTGAAGCAACCCCAATGTCGTCCGAAACGGGACCTAACGGTCAGGGGTCCCTTTACCTTTACCTAACCCTTTCCCCAGGTCTATAATACCCATTAATATGGTCAGACAACCAGAACCATACTCAGTGCCAGCTTCAATCCTCTACATAGGGAAAGGAATGTCCCCTTCCTGAAACCCTGGAGAGCCTCTGCCCATCAGTGTATAGAGCACTGGTCTAGATGGACCAAGGGCCTAACAGTATAAGATAGCTTCCAGTGATCCTGGGCTCATGTTTTGCCAAATCACGCTCTGGCACTGCATCCCAAGCAGGCCGTTACACTTCTCCTTGTTTGCAGTCCTTATTTACGCCCAGCTCACGCAAATACGGCATGTGGGTTTTGTACGCGGAACCGAGGAGCCCCATCCTACCTCATCCGACAAATGAAAGACCGCCGGGATCCCATGCACATCCGCATGGATTGCTGCCCTTCCTTCTTGACGGTCCCCGTCTTCAGGTCCAGGATGCGACCTGGGAAAAGGAAACCGTCACTGTCACAGTCAAAAATGTGAGGGCAGTTCTGCTCAGGAGAAACCTACCTTTCAAGGTCGTTGTTGGGGTTTTATGCACTCCCCAGCAAAAGGAATGCACATGGCAGACAGTTAAGAATTGACTCAAATGTGGACACTTACAGTAGCTTTTATGGCTCCCAATAACCATGCACTAGAATTCTCTGGGTTGCGCTCTATGGAGCAATTGCAGCAACAGGGAATCTCCAGTTTATGTACCTGCTCCCAATGGGCTGCGCACACACAGCCAGAGATTATGCCTGCATGGAAACTTCCCCTGCTCCTCCCTTTTCAATTCCCTCCTGGTTCTGAAAGACAGTGGTTCTTCACTTGCCTGACCTGCCTCTTCCTCCTCTTCTTCCGACCCATTCTGTGCTCCACCCTCCAGCTTTGAAGATTCCCCTGCCTCCGACTCTTGCCTCCTGGCTGACACAGGCCCCCACAGATCATTGACCGCCTCTCCCAAGTCAGACTCCAGCCCTCTCCCCTCCGCAATGCACCCTTACCAGCACGCTGGCCACCCCAACAGCAGGTGTATTCTGCGATGCAAAAACCTCAGAAGAGCCCTGCTGGATCAGGACCAAAGGGATCATCAGGACCAACATCCTGTTCTCACAACAGTCAAATGACCCAAACCACCCAGGAATCTAGATAGATTGCCTCGGGACCTGGAGGTTCAATGGGAACATCTGAAGAGCTGGATCAGGCCAACGGCCCGTCCAGTCCAGCATCCTGTTCTCACAGTGGCCAACCAGGTGCCTGCGGGAAACTTGCAAGCAGGATTTGAGTTCAAGAGCAACTCTGCTCTCTTGCAGTTTCCAGCAAGTGGTATTGGGTTCTGCTTCCCCGAGATGACTGCATTGTTGCCATTCTGAGCGGAACGGGGGGCACTCCTGCGCTAAAAAACAGGGTGAAGCATAAATCCTGGGACATCCACAGTTATGAAATGTTAACAGGATTTCAACAGGAAGTTACAGGACATGCGGTGACTGGGATGGTGGTGGCAGGACGGCCGAGCTCACCCGTAAGGGCGTTCTCCGATGTGGAGAGCTGTTCCCGCAGCTTGTCCACGTCGTCGGGGTGCACCTGGTCGTAGAGGGTGCTGCCAAACCACTGGGACTGGGGCTGGTTCAGGACGGGTGTCACGGAGTCAGAGACGTAGACCACCCGGCCCGTCTCGCAGGACACGATGAAGAGGAACCCGTCGGCCGCCTCCAGAATCAAGTGTTTGAGCTCCTGCAGAGAGAGAGAGAGATGGCAGAGCATTAAGCTCAGTAGTGTTCACACTGACTGGCAGCAGGTATTCCCATCGCTACCTGGAGATGCCAGCAATTGGATCTGGGACCTTTTGCATGCAAAGTCTGTGCTCTACCCCTGAGGAATGGCTCCCGAAAAATAAACTCAAGATTCTAGTCCTCATGACTCTGAATAGGAACATTGAGAGCTACTTTGCCCCAAGCCAAACCCATGATTGCCCCACTTAGACCAGCGCTGTCTACACTGACATCCAGAGGTGTCTCTGGGGATTGAGAGAGCGAGTCTCTCCCAGCCTTACGTGGAAAATCATTTATGACAATTGTACTCCACCTTTCTTCCAAGGACCTCAAGGTGGCAAACACAGTTTCCCTCTTCCTCCACGTTATCATCGCAACAACCCTGCGAGGGAGGTGAGGCTGAGAGAGGCAGTGACTGGCCCAACCAAGGCCCCCCACAGTCAGCTTCCTGGCTGAGTGGGGATTCGAACCCTGCTCTCCCAGGTCCTGGTCCGACACCCTCACTGGCGTTTCTCAAACTTGCGTCTCCAGCCATTGTTGGATTACAGCTCCCATCATCCCTAGGTAGCAGGACCAACGGTCCGGGATGATCAACTCTCATGTGGCCAAATATATACTGGGGGGGGGGGAATCCAATTCACTTCAAACCCGGAAATAGTGGGAGAGAGCTGGAAAGTCCTTGTGGCACACAAGGAGAGCCCGAAGAGGACGTCAGGGAGGGCAGAGGAAGCCCCGAAAGTACCAGAGACACAGCAGGGATTTGTTTAGACTGCTCAGTCTTTCCACCTAACAGCTGCTGCTGCAGCAGCTGCTGCCACTTTTATTTGCATGTCCTCCAGCCTCTGCCACTTTTATTTGCATGTCCTCCAGCCTCCTGGAGGCCCCAGAACTTCAATTCTAGTTATGGATATTTTTGGATCCAGTATTTTTGCTCTGGGTTGGAGAAAGCACAGCACATAGGGTGTTTAAAGGGTGCTCCCTACTTACGCACATGGAGGCCTTGTACATAACCCCCGCGTTAAGGGGGGGACAGACGCCTGTGTCGGAATTCCGTACAGCCGACCTACTCCTCCTCCTACGTTCCTCCGACGGTGATTAACGACCTAAGCCTTTGACGAGGCTTCAGGCACGTTCCCTCATTACGCAGAGTATCCAAGCAGCAGAAGGACAAGAAATATAAGCTACATTGCTAGGTTTTATTTCTAACTACGCAGACAGAAAAGAATATACATCCTCTCTCTGCGAGAGACAGTGAACCAACTGAGACAAAGAAACAGGAAACCAGTAACAACAACATCTGTCTCCCATCTGACTTCCAACAGTCTGGAATGTAAACAGAGTCTTGTGACTCCAAAAACTGCACAGTGGCATCAACAGAAATCTAACAGCCTGTACCTGGTCGGTGAGGAAGGAGGGCTTGTAGGTGCCATCAGTGGAGGTGTTCCCGGTGCCCCGCAGGGACTTCATGTGCGAGACGGCCATGCGCAGGATGGTGAGCTTGTCCGGCTTGCGGGCCAGGGCGCTGCAGGTGGGCACCATGTCCGACAGCTCCGTGATGTAGGCCGTCATCTTGTTCCTCCGGCGGCGCTCGATCTCGCTGTGATTCTCCCTGCAGGTTGGCAGGAGGGCAAAAGGAGGCAGGCCGGTTAGTTCACAAGGCTCCAGCGCCCAACCCTGCGCACGGTCGCATGAGAGGAGGAGGAAAGGAATGGATGCGGGGCCAGGAATCGTGGTTAGAGGCTGCAAAACTCTCATGCTGGACATGCAACAGGGGAGGGAAAGGTGCAAGAGAAACTTCTGGCCGCTTCAAAACAGGAACAACCATAGAAGCAGCTCGACTGCACTTGGAGCCAATAGGACCATTGGGCGCAGGGTTCTGCTTCTGGCAATGGGCAGCCAGTTAGGTGCCTTTGGGATGCTCACAGCGCACAGCGGTTGAGAGCATGAGAAGAGCCCTGTAGCCAGATCAGGCCACTGGGGGCCCATGTGGTCTGGCACCCTGTTCTCACGGTGGCCAAAGGCATTGAGACGGGCTGCCTCTGGATCTCAGTAGCTGAGAAACAAGCTGAGCTTTGGAGAAGCAAACCACGGTTTGTTGGATCATCCGTGGGGCAACACATAGTCAACCTCTGATTAAGCAAACCACAGTTTGCTTAGTCAATCTGTGATTAAGCAAACCACAGTTACGTGCGAACAGGCCCTCAGGCGTGGTAATGACGTAACAGGCCACTTTAAAGGAAACGTTCACAGGTTGGTCTGTGAAAGCCAGGACCCTCCCTTCCAGCACTCCTCCCCTCCAAAAAAAGAGATTATGCTGGGCTTCCTACATTGAAAAAAGAAACCAGGTTAGAGGCAACGGAATGAGTTCGATGTGTGGCAAGCATGGAATGGGAGATGGAACTGGATGGATGGTGGAGTGAAGACGGAACAAGTATTATTTTTCTTTAATGGAAAAAAGGTAGGCTTGGAATTGTCCATCTTGACAACTAGTTTTTGGGCACCTTTGGCTGGGATCTCGTGCTTCCCAGGACAAACACACAAAGCTACTGAGTGAAGCAAAAAAAGGGAGCAACTTTTCCACAGAGAGGGCTTATGGGCTTCTCTGCATAACTCCTCGCCAGCGCTCCCCCCTCCATCCCTTCTCTGCACAAGAAGTTGGGGGGCCTGGTACTAGTGCGACTCGCAGAGTAACCATGGGAGATCTTGGCTTAGGCTGAATTGGGACGCCCACAAAAAGCTGAGAATCTTGACACCTGACAAGAAATCCTTCAGATCCTCAAGAGCCTTCTCCTCCCCCCCCCCAAACCAGGTGTGGCGAAACCTTTGGTCCTCCAGCTGTTTATTTATTGCTGATTGATTGCACTTAGATCCCACCTCCTTTCCCCCAAGGAGCTCACAGTACATGGCTCTCCTCCCTCCCTTTATCCTCACAACAACCCTGTGAGGTAGGCGAGGCTGAGAGAGGCAGCGATTGGCCTACGGTTACTTCGTGGCTAAGTGGGGATTCAAACCCTGGTCTCTACAAGGTCCTAGTCCAACATGGACCACTGCACCGCAATGGCTCCCAGTCTGTTGATGAACTACAGCTCCCATCAGCAAGCACGGCCAATGGCCAGGCATGATGATGACGATGATGGGAGTTGTAGTCCAGCATCATCCAGAGGGCCAGAGATTTCCCCACACCTGACGTAAGGGAGAGGGAGACGGCTGCAGCCCCAGGAGCCTTCTTCGGCCCAGGGAATGGGGTGGCTCTCCAATGTAACTTTTGAACTACAACTCCCAGCAATGTCATCATCAACGCTGACCGCTGAGCCAGCCTGGCAGGGGCTGATGCGCGTTGGTGGTTCAAGAACACATGGAGGACACAGATGCTTTTCTCTAGACCTTTATTGTTCTGAAATGCTGTAACACACACACATGCTACAGAAAAACAACCTTGCAGAAACTGTTGCCATTCTCTCTCTACCTGCCTTGGGTTCTATACTCCCAATATTCCAACTCGCTTTCCGCTACAGTTTGGACATGACAAATCTTTAGCCCTCAGTTATGTTCAGGATTATCATCCTACTTGGACCAAGTCTCTGTGCTTGCTATCTGCTGGATCTATTGTGGATTGTGGCCTCTATAACCAGCCCAGAGGGAAATTTCACCTTGCCAGCTCCATCCCTATGACTCTACCCCACAGGAAAACCCCACACAGACTGCACGCCATCTGAAAGCCTTCCCCCAACTCCTGAAGAAAGACTTCAACACAATCCAGTGGGGGGGGGCCTTTGCTCTTCTAGGTTGCGTGCAGTTTGGAAGTAAAAGAAAACAGTCCAGCCATAGATTCCCGCAAAAGTGGAGGCCTGTCTTGTCCAGCATCCTATCTGCACAGCCGCCAAATGCCCCTAAGAAGTGAGATAGACTGCCTCTGGACCTGGAGGTTCCAGAAGAGCCTGGCTGCTGGATCAGACCAAGGGGGTTCCCACCTAGTCCAGCGTCCAATTCTCACAGTGGCCAACCAGTGATGCCCCAACAGAAACCCCCCAAGTTCTACTGAAAGGGCACGATACCAATAAATAAATTTCAAGGTTTCCAGGTAGGTGCAGGGAGAGAGTCTCAACAAGCTCATCAGGCTCAGGTGCCACCTCCAGCACCAAAGTCAAGATTAAGCTGCAAAAATAAAAAGGATTCTAGAAGTGCTTGCCGCTGCTACCTGTGGGACTGTTGTTAATGTAGGTTAAACGTCTCTCTCACCCACCCAACCCCAAGCATCGCAATCAAGGGGCCAGCGGCTTTGGAGTGGCGATAAGAGGAGCCTGAGAGGAGATATGCTAGGCATCTTCAAATATCTCAAGGGCTGTCACATGGAAGAGGGAACAAGCTTGTTTTCTCCTGCTCTGGAGGGCAATGGCTTCAAGTTACAAGAAAGGAAATTACGACTAAACATTAGGAAGAAGTTTCTGACAGTAAGAGCTGTTTGAGAGTGCAACAGACTCCCTTTGCAGTTTGTGGACTCTCCTTCCTTGGAGGTGTTTAAGCAGAAGTTGGATGGCCATCTGTCATGGATGCTTCAGCTGAGATTTCTGCATTGCAGCGGGTTGGACTGGATGACCCTCGGGGTCCCTTCCAACTCAATTCTATAACTGCCTCCCAGTTTTGATAGAGGACCACCTCAGCTAAGGAGTGGCAGCCAAGGTCCTTTTGGTTGCCCCATGAAAAAACCCGCCTGCCATCAAGTCCCCCTGTTGATCGGGCAGCCAGATGAGGCATAAGCGATGCCAGCTGCCAACCCCCTGACAAAGGCCGGCTTCGTCATAAGCCATTAGAGCAGGAACAAAGAAAGCTGCCTTATACAGTCAGCCCACTGGTCCATCCAGCTCAGTATCGTCGGCACTGACTGGCAGCAGCGTTCCAAGATTTCAGACTTAAGAGGGCATTCCTGGTCTACCTGGAGATACCGGGGACCTTCTGCATGCAAAGCAAATGATCTGTAACCCAGCTATAGCCCTTACCCTAAAATAAAGTAAGAATCCAGTCCTCATGGCTGAACGAAGGGTTTCTACCAAGCCAGACCCTTGTTGAGCCCAGCTCTGCCTTGTCTACACTGACCTGCTGAAGTTCTCCATGCCTGAAACATTTGCAGCTCCACCTGGAACTGGGAAATGAACCCGGGTTCATTTGAATGCTGCTGCTGAGCCCCTTGCCCTTATTTTGCAACCCACCCTGCTTCTGAAAGAGCCAAACATGCCGCTCATCAAACCAAACCGGGAAAGGTGCTGATTTTTCAGGTAAGTCTCGTGTTTGGGTTCAAGACCTCGATTTAAGGAAGGAAGCGGGTGAGGGCAGGGAGACTATTAAGAGGAGGCGGACGGGGAGGGGTGTCACAGAGGAGGAAAAGAGGAGGAGGAGGAGAAGGAGCTCTGCTTTGCCATGCTTAAATAAAAAACACACACAACCAAATCTCCATTCTCCTACCTGGCCAGTCTTTCCTTATCCGCTGAGCTCTGCTCATCATCAGACCTGGAAATAAAAGGGGTGAGCTAAGCTAAAACTGGGGAGGAAAAAAAATTATTTTAAAGTAACAGGGAATAAAGGAAAGGAGGGTGGCGGGGAGGGAATGTAACAGGAGACCCAATTTATCTGCAATAAGAAGCGGAAGGTGGGTGGGTGGGTGTCATGACTTTGCTGGCATTCTGGAACCAGCTACAGATTAGGTGCTGCACGCCCTGCGTGAGAGGAAAAGGTCTCCGCCCAGAGGGGCTTACAAACCATGTTAGAGACACGGATGAGGGTGGAGAGAGAGAAAACAAGAGGTGAGGGAAGAGGAGAAAGTCTGGCCAGAGTATAGTGTGGAGCAAGTGAAGGACGAGTCAGGTGGCGTAGCGGGACCCCACAAAGGACACTATGTATGTATATATTTATTTATTTTTATTTCACTATATATACAGAGAACATTATTGTAAAACAAACAGCACTAAACCTCAAAGCATGTTACAAAAAGAATAAAACAATGAAACCATCGGGGGGGGGGACCTGTGTGTGTATGTGTATATTTATATACATACTGGTATATATATAGTGCTAAACTAAAACCCAGAGTAAAACACACAGAAGTCTATGTACTTGGAGAGGCTTTGCGTAAACAAAATGTTTCTACCAGGCATCAAGAACAGTATAGTAAAGGCGCCAGCCTGATGCGTCAATAGGCAGGGAGTTCCAAAGTGTGGGGGCTGCCATAAGAAAAGAGTGGAACAAATATTTACGTGGCACCTGGAACAGTGCCAGTTCCACAGGCTGAAGCAGCTCACTAGAATTAGAACCCAGGACCTGGTTCTAATACTAGGGGAGATGTAAGTCCCTTGCAACATGCAAAGGCATGAGAGACAGAGGGCCTCTGAGAGCGTGCAGAGCGCCTTGCTGGTGACCAAGACACAGCCATGTGGGTTGAGAAGCGCAAAGGCAAGCTTTCATGAACGCCATTCACAAATCCCAAAAAGAAAAGGTGAGATACTTATATGATGAATAATATTACGGAATGGGAAGTTCTCAGTGGGGAAACAGATTGGCTATTAGTTACGGTTTTGCAGCACTGCGTGAAGACTTAAAAAGGGAAAAAAATCCTGAGGCTTTTAATTCTTAACCTGTGGTGGAACTGGTTCAACCGCTGCCTCCTGTTAGTTTTTAAAATAATGACTGTCGCTTTCCAAAGGAGTCCTGAAGCAACTTGCGAATGTCACAAAATACAAAATATAGTCGGACAATAAAGGATGTGTTAAAAACAAGTAGCCTAAAAGTGTTCATCCAAGAAAGGTTACTGAGCCACACGAAATATCCACGCTGCCAAAGGAATGCCAGACCCCTCAGCGCTGTCCAAATCGCCTGGGGAAATATTGGAAAGCAAACCACAGGAAAGTTCCTCATACTGGTCTGTCTAGTTCAGTACTGTTCACACTGACTGGCAGTGGCTTTCCAGGGTTTTAGGCAGCAAATCTTTCCAAGATGACCCCAGTGGGGACTGAACCTGGGACCTTCTGAATGCAAAGCAGGTGCTCTACTACTGAGCTTCCATATGCATAAGCTAAGATTCTAGTCCTCAGGGTTCTGAAGGAAGGAGCAGTTAAAAATAGGAACACAGGAAGCTGCCTTATACCAGGTCAGGTCACTTAACTCAGCACTGTCCACCCTGACTCTCCAGGTCTCAGACCAGGATATTTCCCTCTCCCTACCTTGGGAGATGCTGGGGCCTTCTGCAGGCAAAGCAGGTGTTCTGCCACTGAGGCTGCAGACTTGCTCCAAATAATTATCCAATTAAAACAGCAGTGGTAGCATCCAGGCTGCCTTTTAAGCCCTGCCACTTCCCCCTTTCAAATCTTAAAAAAAACTGGGTTTGAAGCCAGATTTGGTGGGGGAAGGAAACCTGGGTTGCAGCTTTACAAGAAATGCCCCACCGCCGCCACCCCCGAACGACTGATGCAAATCCAGCAGAGTGGTTTTTGCAAGTCAGAAGGAGGAGGAAACAGAGAAATCTCCACCCCTTCTCAAAATCTAAGCAATCCTCCAGAACTGAGAAGCAGAAATCTTGTGAGCAGCCTTTCCCAGCAGGCAAACAGCTACAAAGGGAGGCCGGGATATTGCATTGGGTGCCAGTAACTTCTTTTGGTTCCCACTGCATCTCAGCTGGTAATCAACTTGCAACGAAGAACCTGACCCCAAGCCTGTATTTTTCCTCCTCCCTCCCACTCAGTTTTTCCTTTTGTGTCTTTTTTAAAAAAAGATTGTTAAGTCTCTTTTTTAAAAAGTTATACTTTTAACAATACAAAATCAAAAATATATAACAGAAATGATAGAGATGAAAATGAAGAGGTGTTAAAAAAGTGATGTGTAAGCCACTCTGGGAGCAGGATTAAAAAAAAAAAAATTACCGAAATGAGTAAGAAGAGGAACATAGGGAGATCCGAAGAGCCTGGCTGCTGGATCAGGCTCAGTGATCCATTTGGTCGAGCATCCTGGCCAACCAGATGCCCAAGTGGGAAGGCCGCCAGCAGGACTTGGGCGCCAGAGCAGCTCCCCACCAGCCCCCGCGGTTTCCTGCGACTGTTATCCAGACGCATGGCTGGCTCCCAGTGTGGAGGCAGAGAATAGCCATTGTGGCTAGGAGCCATCGATAGCACTCTCCTCCTCCATGAATTTGTCTAATCCTCTTTTGAAGGCATCCAAACTGGCGGCCCTCAACTGTGGGAGCGAGTTCTATAGTTGAGACGTGTGAAGAAGCACTTCAAAAGCAAAAGTTTTATTTTACAGTCCTTTCAGCTCATGCATCCGAACCTCCTCCCCATCAGAAAAGACCGTCTCCGTACTAAGTAAGGTAGCTAAGTCATGGGTAGGTAAACTAAGGCCTAGGGGCCGGATCCGACCCAGTCGCCTTCTCAATCCTGCCCGCGGACGGTCCAGGAATCAGCGTGTTTTACATGAGTAGAATGTGTCCTTTTATTTAAAATACATCTCTGGGTTATTTGTGGGGCATAGTAATTCATTCATATATATTTTTCAAAATATAGTCCGGCCCCCCACAAGGTCTGAGGGACAGTGGACCGGCCCCCTGCTGAAAAAGTTTGCTGACCCCTGAACTAAGTCCTTGTTACCATGGGCGTTGAAATCCCCCATGAATTGCAACCTTGCACGAGGGCACCCATTTTGAAGACGGGAGTAAATAACCCTCTGAGTGATCCCAACGTGATGGATCGTGCAACTGGGGGACGGGCCTAACTCGTAGGGTGGAAGATACACCTTAATAAGTAACAAGGATGGTATGGTACAACGGCATCTTACGTGGGGGTTCGGTTCCAAGTGTTCCGTGCATACATGGTAATGTGTATACTCAAAATCTTGGCACCATCCCTGTGCCAGCACCCATGGGCTTTTGGAGCTGGCGTGTTGAGAGGGGCTGGACCGCCAGGCAAGGCAGAGTGTTAATAAGCTCTTTCCACACCAGGAAAACCTGGCACAAAATGAGCTTTTGCGGTCTCTCGCCTTGCTTACCAGGCAAGGCCTGCTTGGCACGCCGGCTCTGGGTTGCTCTTGTGAAATCTTGTGGGGCTAGCCTGAGTTTTCGTGAAATCCCGCGCTTCTGCAGCTGACACACCGAGAGGTCCTTGCACAGTAAGCAAGTCAGGGAGCTTAAAAGCTCTTTTCATGCAGGAAGAACCTTGTGTGCTTTTAATTTGCGTGATTTCACCCGGCCGGCCTTCAACAACACAAGGTTGAAACTGCACAGGTTTAATGTGTGCAAGTTGCCACCGTTCTGTACTTCCGTTTTCATCCTTCCTGGACCAGGCCAGATGCAGGAGGTGGAGGTTATGCCCTGGTGTTACTGGGCAAACCACAAAGGACTTCTTTGCCATGCTGAAAACTGGCGAAACAAGCCAGAATCATCAGTGAAAGCGTTTTGAGGCTTGGTTCGGATCTGGGCAAAGAGCCCAGGCTGACTGGCTCCTCCTGGTGACTCACAGAGCTCAGCCCCTTAAGAGAGATTTCCTGCATCTGACAGGCACCAAAGATAACGGCAGGCAGATGGTGGGGGCCAGCTCCCCAGCTTTAAAAAAAAGGAAGAAGAAGGAAGATCGGCTTTTGACCTTTAAACAGCAAAATGGCCTCACTTCGAACCATGGTTGCGCAAGGCAGGCGAGTGTTAAAAGTAATTGTGGGCAACAGTTTCTCTCGCCAGCAAGGCAGAGATGCCTATCTTTGAAGAGGAAGAAGAGGAACAGGAAGAAAAATCCCCCCTCCAATTTAAGACGTTTGCGCAATCCGTTCCGAAGCAGCCTAGGGATTAAAAAGAAGTCGCAGGATGGCTGCAGGTATGAGGCAATTCAACGGAAAGAATAGCCTGACCTCAGGCAACCGGATATGAGCAAACTCCTTGACCTGCCTGTTGAGACAGTGTGGCAGGTCCAAACAAACCACAGGATTTAAATTTTTAAAATTTATGTCTCACTTTCCCATCAGGCGCCTCCCTCCCTCTGTTATTTACGCCCAGCTTCCGCCAGCTTCCCATCCCACCCCTGCCTCAGTTTACCACCTGGTGCTTGCCTTCTCTTTCTCCCCAGCCCCTTATTCCTGCCTCCGTTTCCCCACCCAGTGCCTGCCTTCTGTCTCTTTCCCCCCAGGAGCAAGTTGCTCTGAGAGCTTTGCCATTTAAAAAGCAACAAGAAATAATAATTTTTAAAACCCTGGCTTTGCAGTCTGCCGCACCCCCTCCCCAAATGAGCAGCTGCATTCTTCTAATTAGCCATGCTTAAAAACAAACTGAAAATTACTCCAGCCACCACTCCCCGCACCCCAAATTTCGAGAAAGAGGCTATTTGCTTTGATGTTTCAAAGGCAGAGTTTTCGGAGGGATTGGGAGGCGGGAGAAGGCGCAGAGGGAGGGAGGGAAGGAGGGCTGGGTCACACGGGATGCTTTGAGCTGGGGCAGAGATGGATGAAAGGCCACCTGGAGCTCAGGTGAGTGGCACATGCCAATGGTACAGCGCCTGGGCCTCAATGGCTCCTGCAGGGCAGAGGCGCTGGAGGAAGCCTTACCTAGCAAACCGCTCCTTGTCGTTCGGGAGCTGGTCATCATCGCACCTAGGAGAAGAATCGGGAGAAGGAAGACATGAGAAACGGGCAGCTTCGAACAGCACGGAACGGCCTGTGCCTCTTTGGACAACGGCCTGGGCCACAACTGCTGAGACTTGGGAGACTGTTTCATCCCGATCATTAGAATTCCAAGTCTTGGCAAGTCACCGTTCTTGGAAGAAGAATATTATTCTTTATTTGCAATATAAATGTTATACAGTGGTACCTCTGGTTGCGAATGGGATCCGTTCCGGAGTCCCGTTCGCAACCTGAAAAGAACGCAACCCACGATTCGCCGCTTCTGCGCATACGTGTGACGTCATTTTGTGCGTCTGCGCATGCGCGAGAAGCAAAGCCCGAGGAACCCATTCCATTATTTCCAGGTCGCCGCGGGACGCAACTTGAAAACGCACAACCTGAAGCAAACATAACATGAAGTATGAATGTACAGTGGTACCTCGGGTTACATACGCTTCAGGTTACAGACTCCACTAACCCAGAAATAGCACCTCGGGTTAAGAACTTTGCTTCAGGATGAGAACAGAAATCGTGCGGCAGCGGCGCGGCAGGCCCCATTAGCTAAAGTGGTACCTCAGGTTAAGAACAGTTTCAGGTTAAGAACGGACCTCCGGAACGAATTAAGTTCTTAACCCGAGGTACCACTGTATATGCAAATATTTTGTCTGCAAATACAGCAGCTCAGGTCTATGTGGGCGCTTTGTACAATCCTTTTCTTTTAGTCGCCTTCTTTTGAAACAGAAAGTATGGTGGTGAATTTTTCTGATTCACCTGCTTGATAAACTGCTTTGAGGATTTTACAGCCCAGCGGTATATAAATTTTATGAAACCAACTAACTGGCTAAGAAACGCATGCTCAGAAGACCTGCCAGCCTGGATCTCCTACAGACAATGACACTGTGGCTTGACGAGATTAAGCTTTTGAAAGGTGACTGTTTCAGAGCCGTAGCTCATCAGGAATCCCATACGGGATGAGATGGTGATGCAGGACTATGTAGCCTAGTTCATCAGGGATCCCAGGCTAGATCATGGAATCACAGAAGTGTGGGGTTGGAAAGAACCCCAAGGGTTGTCTAGTTCAAACACCTGCACTGCAGGAATCATAGCTAAAGGAAGCTATCCAACTTGTTTAAAAACCTGCAATGGATGATAGCCCAACAACTTCTGAAGGAGTCCGTTCTACTGTCAGATAGCTCTTACCCTCAGCAAGTTCTTCCAGATGTTTTGCTGGAATCTCCTTTCTTGTAACTTGAACCCACAGCTTCAGGTCCCACCCTCTGGAGCAGTGGCAAATAAGTTTACTCCATCTTACATTTGACAGACCTCCAGATATGTGAAGACGGCTATCTTATCACCCGTCAGTTTTCTCTTCTGCAGGCTAAACATACCCAACTCCCTCAACTGTCCGTCCTAAGGCTTGGTTTCCAGACCCTTGATTATCTCGGTCGTCAGACTCCACACACATTCCAGCCTAAACATATCATTCTTAAGATATTACAGTGGTGCCTCGCAAGACGAAAAGAATCCGTTCCGCGATTCTCTTCGTCTAGCGGTTTTTTCGTCTTGCGAAGCAAGCCCATTGACAGCTTAGCGGATTAGCGCTACAGCGGTCTAGCGGCTTTTCGCAATCAGCTGTTAAGCGGGTTATCAGCGGAACAGCTGATAGGCGGCTTAGCGGCTTAGGAAAAGGGGGGGGAAAGCGAAAAAAACCCGCGGGGACGCGCAAGATTTTTTCGTCTTGCGAAGCAACCCCATAGGGAAATTCGTTTTGCAAAGCGCCTCCAAAACGGAAAACCCTTTCGTCTAGCGGGTTTTCTGTCTTGCGAGGCGTTCGTCTTGCAGGGCACCACTGTATAACGTTGCAGCTCTATGTAGCCATGCTCATCAGGGATCTTCTGCTAGACACGACGATATTGCTGCATTACGTAGCCTATCAAGCTTGGCTATGCACTGGCATCACTAAGGGCAAAACGAAGCTTTCTGTAAATGAAGGAGATCCTTCCTGCACTGGACCCATGAGTCATCCCAGCCAATCAGGGATACCAGAGAGAAGAGAATTTGACCTCAGCTCTTGCACAGCCGAGTCCCACTCCCTTCTATTTTCTGATGAGCCTTTTTGCAAGACGGATCCCTCTCTCGCTTTGGCTCAGCACAAGTCCCCAAGTCCCTTGCCACTGGAAGTCCGTCTCACCTGAGAAATTTGCTGTTCCCTTCTCCGTCGTCATCAAAATCGAGCCTGGAGAACAAGAGCAAGAACGACTGTTATCTCAGCTGCAACAAACCTCCCCCTGGGACTCCCAGCAGGTGAAGAAAATGAAAGCCAAGCAGAATCTTAAAACTCAAGAGGGCTCCAAGGATGTTGAAATTTAGGTGTAGGGTTTACTGCACCTCCTCCCACCTGGCCTGGTCTCAGCTCATCCCAAAACTCTTCCCAGAGGCAGCAAAAGAGGGGCCCTGTACCTGTTCTTGGACTCCAGCTCCCATCAGCCCCAACGCCAGCAAGATCAACAATAAAGGATGATGGGAGCTGTAGTCCAACAACATCGGGGGGGGCAGGCCACCAAGCTGGTTTTGCCTCAGCAGGAGATGGGAAGAGGCTCATCCCAACAGCTTTGCCAACGCCCCACCTCCACCAGGCGCCTGCTCCTACCCCTGAATTGTGCCAGCACTTGGTCATTATAAGAGGAGATATTTAAGAATTGGTGCCCGAGATTGATTTTTTCCCCTTTTCCCTCCCCGTCCCTTCTCCCTTGTGTGTCATGGTTTTTTTGTAAGGCTGCGGCAGAGACTGCCTTGTTTTAATGGATAGTATGTAAGCCACGCTGAGAACCTTTTCGGCTGAAGAGCAAGGTACAAATGCTCCCAATAAATAACAATAAATTACTAAAAACAGGCGGGAAGCCTAAATGCAGCCCTCCCGCCCTCACTATCTGGATTCCGAGACCCCCCCTGCAGGCCACGCCCTCTCCCAATAGGCCACACCCCTCATAGTCCTGCTTTGTGCCTTCAATTCTTTCTTCCTGGCTGGGATGTGTCTGCTGAACTCTGATGTCATCTTCTGTTTGCATGGAAGGAGGGAGGCGTGTGTGCACGTACGAGAAATGACTGAAGTTGCTGCCCGTATTTTTGTACAGTAAGCCCGCAACTTGTGCAGGGGTTACATTCCAGAGATTGCGCCTGAAGCCAAAAATTACTTAAAGTCAAAGCACACTGGGTTCAACAGTGGGTGGGACTGCCCAAGTCTTTTGTCTCATATGCCCGTCCACTTTTTATTTTTATTTTGGCCAAGTGTATAAAACTGAATGCGCACAAGTTAAATATGTGTAGGTTGTGGCCTTGCTGTACCAGCGAACATATTTGCGGATGCTAATGTACTTTTGAACTACATTCCTGCAGCAGGGAAATTAAAGGGCAGGACAGCAAATTTGTGAGCCTTCGCGGTAGCCAAGAAACTTAAAACTTCGGATTTGGAAGGCTGAACATCCACTGTCTATCACAAAATGGCCTTGAGAATCTCACCAGCCCTGGCTACATGTGAACACACTTCCTACAAACGCATCAGTCTCGTGGGTATACTTATTTTGGCTGGCTTGGAGCAATATTTCTATTTAAGATGGATGTACTGGTGTTTATTGCATTCTTAATGTAAGCTGATGGATTGTTTTTGCTATTTTAAGGCTCCTCTTCATTTTTTGTCTCTTTCCTCTTTGTTAAATTGCTATTTAAGAATCAGCTTTCTTAAAAAGAGAAACTTCTGGTTTCTGGGATGCATCCAATAGTGCAAAGGGAGAGTTTTATCTATAATAACTATTTGCTTTCGCCTCTTGCCCTGCCCAACATGGGTTCGTGGCCTCCAGAAGGTTACATGCGGCCCTTGGGTTGGAAGGGGGGAGTCCCCACCCTGCTGAGCATCCTCATTCCAAGTGACCACTGGAGTCACCCTTACCCCGTCCTCCTCTTGTTTGCTCTCTGGACGATGCTCCCTCCAGAACACGCGTCGGGTCCAGGTGTCCCTGAAGCAGAGCCCAGCAAGGGGACATCCGATGCCATTTCTGGAAGGAGAGGGGGAAAGACGAGAGGGGAAGTGAGGCATCATCCCTTTAAAGCCCTAAACGGCCTCGGCCCAGTATATCTGAAGGAGCGTCTTCACCTCCATCGTTCAGCCCGGACACTGAGGTCCAGCTCCGAGGGCCTTCTGGCGGTTCACTCCCTGCGAGAAGCATAGTTACAGGGAACCAGGCAGAGGGCCTTCTCGGTAGTGACACCCGTCCTGTGGAACGCCCTCCCACCAGATGTCAAAGAGAACAACAACTACCAGACTTTTAGAAGACATCTGAAGGCAGCCCTGTTTAGGGAAGCTTTTAATGTTTGATGTATTAGGGCATTTTAATATTTTTTTGGAAGCCGCCCAGAGTGGCTGGGGAAACCCAGCCAGATGGGCAGGGTACAAATAATAAATTATTATTATCATCATCATCATCCCGAGAGGGCAGCAGACATCTGCTCTGGGTTGCTCTGCCGACTGGCTGGCTTGCCAGGCAAACACCACATCGCCAGAGCTGAGGCTTCTACATACACACACAGCAGGATGGAAGCACCAGACCTTCTGGCACATCCCTCTGAAGAAAGCACGCTGGACGCCAGAGAGAAAACATGCACAAGTCGAAGGGGAAATGTGTCTGGCTTTTAAGAAGGCGATGTCAGGATCAAAGTCGCTCATCGTTCCCACTTAGTCACAATCTGGGTTGTGCGAATACTGAAAGATCTGGGACAGACAGAAGGACTTCTTCGCACAGCGCCGAATTATGGATTTTGCTCCCACAAAAAGACAACCACGGGTGTTGCCTTGGAGGGACTTCATTTACCTAGGGGAAGGTTTTATGACACCGTGTGGACCCTGCAAAACAACAACACAACTCCAGTTTGAATGCATGGTGAGCACTCGTCCCATAAGAAACACCCATCTGGAAGCCCCCAAAGTCTCCTGGCCCCAGATGCCCAACAGGGAAACAGAAAAGCAAGTAATTTTTAATGCAGCGCCACGTTAAACTATGGAACTCTCTCCCACTGGAGACAGTGGTGATCACCAACTTGGATGGTTTTAAAAGAGGAATGAGACAAATTCATTAAGGAGAAGGCTAGGCTCTGTCTCCACAGTTAGAGGCAGCAACGCTACTGAAATCCAGTTGCTAGAAACCGCAGGCAGGAGAGAGTAGTTCTTGTGCTCAGGTCCCGCCTTTGAGCTTCCCACCGGGGCATCTGGTTGGCCTCTCCTGATGTTCCTATGGAACCTCCATGTCCAGAGGCAGTCTACCTCCATTCCTAATTTCTTTGGGGCGTTTGGCCACTGTGAGAACAGGACCCAGGACTAGATGGGCCACTGGCTCTTCTCATATTCTTATTTGCCCCTCAAATAACAAACCATTGACTCAACTGGGCTGCCACAGATGGAAGAACTCTTGGAGCAATAAAAGCGCAACGCGGGCATGGCATGTTTTATGCTGCAGCACTCACAGAAAAGAACGAAACAATACCCACAAAGATAATTTAAAATCCTGCTGCAGGCTTCTCTCAGGACTCCGTTCCCTCTGAGGCAGGCCCGATCTAATTAATACCACAAGGCTGTAAAACTCAGAGAACAAGCCATAAACCATCTGAAGTGCTCTTAGGGGCTTCAATCTCCCTGCCTTGCTTCTCTGGGTGTGTTTTTTTGCGAAGAGCTAATAAGATCATATTCATGTACAAAGCCTTTAGAGACTGTCCAGAACAGAAAAGCAGTCAGGAAAAGAGCAGCAATGACGCAACACCGGTCTAAGTTCTGCTCCTTACAACCCTTTTACGAATTGAAAAAATAAAATAAAATCAATTTTCTGCCTGCAGCTGGCAGTGGAGAAGGAGTCTGCTGAAAATGAAAGGTTTCCTGGCAGGGAAAGGGGAAAAAGCAGAAGACCAAAAGCCCGCTCAAGGAGGGGAACTCTTAAGAGCGCCAAGAGTGGTCAGGCGACATCCCTCCCCACCATTCCTCCCACAGAGCTCCCTGTGATGAGGGACTGAGTGCTAAACCACTCTGGGAATTGGAGATAAGAGTCCTCTCCTTTCGTTTCTGCACTGGTGACTCCCCATCTTCCATCCTCCGTAATGGCGGGAGGACCACCATTTTCCAGCAGGCCTATGTCCTTCATCCTACACGTCTATTCTCAGAGAAGACACGCCATCGAGACAGGGAGACCACCATCTCCAGATCTTGAGGTGGCTGGTCCATCTGGGCCAATGGGGCCTCACCAACCTCTGCCAGCTGCCTGCCTTCTTGGTTGCTGCCAGTCCACTGTCTCATCAGCATCCTCCTTGGTCTGTGTTGCCCCTTGTAGACAGAACTCAAGAGGGAGGAGACAAAACTAGAATTCGCTCTAGCACCACCTACTGCTGGTCTCCTTGACTTAAAGGTAAAGGACCCCTGACAGTTAAGTCCAGTCGCAAACGACTCTGGGGTCGCGGAGCTCATCTCGCTTTACTGGCCGAGGGAGCCGGCGTACAGCTTCTGGGTCATGTGGCCAGCATGACTAAGCCGCTTCTGGCGAAACCAGAGCAGCGCCTGGAAACACCGTTTACCTTCCCGCCAGAGCGTTACCTATATATCTACTTGCACTGGTGTGCTTTCGAACTGCTAGTTGGCAGGAGCTGGGACCGAGCAACGTGGGGAATCGAACTGCTGACCTTCCGATCAGCAAGCCCTAGGCTCTGTGGTTTAGACCACAGCGCCACCCTGCCTTACGTCCTACCAATTTCAACAGGCAACACCAGGGGCAGTCCCTGCCTTCAAGCGCTACCTGCCAGCCGAAATGAAACTGCCTGGAGTAATATAAACTGCCTGATGAACTTTATGCAGATGCCCTTACGGAAATATTTACTATCTTTGGTTCAACAAAAGGTTAGCAGGCAACCAGGGCAAGTGGCAAACAAGCAGTTCTCTGGGTCTGAGGACCAGTTCCTGCAGACACCTGACATCCCCTTCAAAGTTGCTGCTGCAAAAATCCAACGCTGAACCAAAGGCATGGCCAACCTGATTCTTCCCATCTTATCCTCACAACGACCCTGTGAGGTAGGTGAGGCTGGCAGGTCACCCAACGAGCTTAAGAAGAGCTTGCTGGACCCTGCCAATGGCCCATTGAGCCCAGCATCCTGTTCTCATTGCAGCCACCCAGTTGCCTCTTTTGGGAAACCCGCTTTCCGAAATCGGTTTTAAAAATCAGAGGCTCAGCACGGCAAGCCATCATGGCTAGTAAAGGTAAAGGGACCCCTGACCATTAGGTCCAGTCGTGGCCGACTCTGGGGTTGCGGTGCTCATCTCGCTTTATTGGCCGAGGGAGCCGGCGTCTGTCCGCAGACAGCTTCCGGGTCATGTGGCCAGCATGACTAAGCCGCTTCTGGCGAACCAGAGCAGCGCATGGAAACACCGTTTACCTTCCCGCCGGAGCGGTACCTATTTATCTACTTGCACTTTTTTTTATGTGCTTTCGAATTGCTAGGTTGTCAGGAATAATGGCTAGTAGCCATTGACAATTTTCTCCACACCTCACAATTCATGCTTCCCCCTGCTTATGTCCCATGCATTTAAATATATCAGAGTCGATGAAATATATAGTAGAAACACTCAAGGAAAATCTACCTGTAGTTTTATATGCACTACATTGAGATTTTGTGCCAATTAATCCCAACTTCCTCCCCTCACTTCTACGTGCCCTACTCCACTTTGCACCCCTAACAGGAGAAAACGCACCATCATTAATGGTTAAACCAAGCCATTTCTTGGCTTGCAGAGCTCCCCCCACCCAGACTGTGCATGAATCTATAGGTCGCCTTCTTGTGTCTCCCTAAATGTCCCCGCTCTTGCATTCCAGAAATCGCACTGCGGCCCAGTCACCCTTGTCATCCGCCCACATCCCCAAATCATGCAGCCAAGGGTGTGTTTTTCTATTTGTTTGATCCTAATGTAATCTTAAATTTCATCACATTTGCTTATGTTGTGTATTTAATCTGTCAATACACAGTATCTTTCTCTTCCTTTTTAGAGAAAGGCCAGATATTAATCCCTTAATAAAGAAAAGGGTCGTTTCCATTGGCAGTGCCCCCTCCCAGAGCCAAGACTCCCCCCCCCATATCCTAACTCCAACTAAACGTTTTCCAAAGGGGTACCCAGGTAAAGTCTAAAGCAGCAAAAAAAAAGGGTTGTCATCCCCAAAAGCTGATTTCACAATAAATGTGTTATTTCAGGGGAACCCTATTATCCAACTCATTTACGTCACTCCAAGCCCTGGGCCACCCCATTCCCCTCTCACCCCACAACTGCCACAGCATCCTCAAGTCACTCTTATCTTTTCCCATCACTCCAAGCCCCTGCCCCACTTCTAACCCTATTCTCCCCCATGCTATTAAGAACCCTTTGGCCACACCCCCAGTCAAGCCACACTCTCCGCCATCCCAAAGAAACACCCCTCTGCAGGGGTGGCCCCCAGATTCGCTTCAGCTCCCCCAAACCTCTAAGTCTGAGCCTCCCCCCCCCATATCTCATGATTCCATGTAGCCCCCCACTCCCCACAATTCACCTACAGTCGTCCCAAATCTACAACTCCTAGCTGCTCACAGATACCCACATCCTATAACTCCCCATTATCCCAAACTGCAAGTCTAAGCCCCCAAATCTGTATCTCTGAGCCCCACAGGTTCCCCTTGCCCTATGCTGAAGGCAGCCTTGTTTAGGGAAGCTTTTAATGTTTAATAGGTTATTGTATTTTAGTATTTTGTTGGAAGCCGCCCAGAGTGGCTGGGGAAGCCCAGCCAGATGGGCGGGGTATAAATAAAAAAATATTATTATTATTATTATTATTACTATATTACTTCCCCTTTCCACCCCCAGTCTCGCCTTCCCTCCCCCAAATCCCCCTCAAACCCTCTCCCACTAAGCCCCCTAACTCATAACTCCCTCCCCCCCGTTCCCCTTCCTCCCCAAAAGAGACCCCCCCAAACCCCTCTCCCCCTGAGCCCCTCATTAACCCCTTCCATCCCTCCACCCCCTCCCCTCCTGCAACTCCAAGCCCTCCCCCCACCTACCTCATGCTGCCCCCTCCCCACAGCTCACCCCTCCAGTCAGACCCTCCCCCCAAAGTCACTCCAGCCCCCCAACCTCTAACCGTGAGCCCCCTCCCGCTCTCCCCCCCCACCAACCCGACGCCCAGGCCTCTGCCTCCCCCCCCCACTCACCCTGGTTAGCAGCGGCTGTTGCCATGGCGACAGGAGGAGAGGGAGGCCGCTCTCCCCCCCCCGCCCCTGCCTCAGTTCTCCCCTCTCGCCAAGCGTCAATTCCAAGATGGCGGCCGCTCCAGCGAGGGGGCGTGGCCGAGGAGGCGGGGAGAGAGGGCTCTCCCATTGGCGCGCGGCCTCCCTGGGGGGCGTGGCCTGGCCTCACCTCCCTCGAAGGCAGCTGACGGGGCGGGGCCATATAAGGGCGGGGCTTGTAGATGGGGCGGGGCTTGGGGAAAATAAAAAGCTGATTCCGAGGGGCTCCCCGCGCGGCGCGTTGTCGGGAAGGGGAATGCGGTGACGTCAAAGTGACGTAGTTTAAAGGGGCGGGGCGGGGAAAGGAATCTCGGGTGACCTCACAGAGTGACGTAGCTTCAGCGGGAAAGGGTTTTTTTTTGGTGTGACACCATCGGCAGGGCTGGTTTTAATTGAAAAATTAAAAGGAGGGTGGGGACGATGCCGTCAGCTTGGCTTTTAATATAATTTTGTAAAAAGGTCGGGGTTCCAGGTGTGATGTCATGGGTGTGTTTCATTCATTCCAATACGTAATAAGTACAGTGTTATTTCAAAGTTGTTACTATTAAATAGTAGTATTTAACACAGACAAAGTTGCTTATTTTTCTCTAACTACTGTACATATGGGGGGGGCCCTCTTTCCTGGAGACTTGCAATCTTAGTAAAAGGTAAAGTGACCCCTGACCATTAGGTCCAGTTGTGACCGACTCTGGGGTTGCGGCGCTCATCTCGCTTTATTGGCCGAGGGAGCCAGCGTACAGCTTCCAGGTCATGTGGCCAGCAGGACTAAGCCACTTCTGGCGAACCAGAGCAGCGCACGGAAACGCCGTTTACCTTCCCGCAGGAGTGGTACCTATTTATCTACTTGCACTTTGACGTGCTTTCGAACTGCTAGGTTGGCAGGAGCAGGGACTGAGCAACGGGAGCTCACCCCGTCGCGGGGATTCAAACCGCCAACCTTCTGATCGGCAAGCCCTAGGCTCTTAGCACAGCGCCAAAAGAAAATGGACTGGGGTAGGAAGAAGAAGAGGAAAGTGAGCAGTGAAGTAGCTGCTCCTTCCCTAGTGGACAGAATGGGGCTAGCTCCCCGCTCCCCACACCACTCCCCATGGTAGTCTGGTCAGCAGCAGACACCAGAGTGTGGCTCCCTTCAGCTCTCCAGTTCTACAGCTGGGCTGAGGACAAAAGTGCTGCTCGGTGTCCTAACTGCTGGAAGACCCACATTTAAAGCCCAGGAGTTTCCCCAAAGAACCCTGGGAGCAGTAGTTTCGTCAGGGTGCTGGGAACTGTAGCACTGTGGGGTAAACTATGGTTCTCGGGATTGTGGGGTGTGTGCTTTAAATGCATGGTGCGTGCAAACTATTTTCGGAGCCTCGTCATTAACCAGCAACGGGGAAGCTGCCGCCCTCCCAGTGTTCTTGGACTACAAGTCCCAAGTCTAACCTGTTGGCACTAGCTTGGATGAAATGTAGGTGAAATCACACAGAGGTTCCATTCTTTGATCTGTCCTGCTCCTGCTGCCAGTCCTTTTCATTGCAGCGAGTTCTGGTACACAGGAACAAGTGAAGGGAGGTGAGGACAGGTGACCCCACCTAGGCCCGAAGTCACCCCCCCCCAAACCAGGCCTCAAACTGTCCAAAATTCCTTTTGTCTTCTAAAAATCCAAAACAGCTTTTCTCTGCTTTTCTCACAAGATGCTGTGGCAAGGGCAAACCGTTACTTTTTATCAGTACAAGAAGGCTTCAAAAAGCTAATGAATACACTCTGTCAATGCCAAGAATACTCAGGCCTGAGAACTGAATCTTATCTCACTCTAGTTGCAACATATTTGGACATGCTGAACCGCTCTCATCCCCCTTTCCTGGGAAGGGTGCCAAGAGTCCAAAAGAGTCCCAAGACAGGGGAGCTTTCTGTTCATGCTCAGAGGAACTCATGGGCAGGACTCTGGAAGAAGGAGGAGAAAGGGAAGGGAACTAGAAGGGGAATATAAACTCTGTGCACATGACTGTGAACTCATGCATGCTTTTTGTGAGTTATCACACTTGCTCCTTCTACCAGTTCATGGATGGTAGAAATAAAAGCTTTTTCTCCGAAACTATTCCTTGAGTGTCTGTTGACTCCCATCTCCCTCTCCCCGGTGCAATACTTTTTCCCACCCGAGGGCAAAGCCTCATAAGGCTACACAAGCATGACACCTGAGCCAACCTCAAAGGAGTGGTTATCTCAAGCCAGCGTGCTTAGGATAACAACCCTCTGAGTCTGATGCACTCTGATGCACTCTGCACACATTTAGAGGCTATGTCATTTGAATCAGGGAACTGGAACTTCAAGGCTGGGCTTTATCTGCTCTGAGACTCTTTCCAGGCCAAACCCCTTTTCCGGCTCTGCTCTGCAGCTTCCAGGGGCACTATTGGCCTGTCCAGAATGTGTGCTTGAAGTGTGGCAATGCTTCTTCCTCACCTGAGCGGAGAGAAACCTGTGACTTTCATGTGACACTAAGGTAGCCTTCTGTATACACACCTTTTGCTCCACCCAGAAAGGTTGCTGGTCAGAGGAGGCTGCTGCCCTCGCCCTGCAAAAAAAGATTCCCCACCCTTGATCTTAAGGACACCTTCACCTTCCAAGGTTCTGCCTGGCTCCTTGTAATACTGACAGAATCATAGAACTGTAGAGTTGGACGGGAATCCAAGGGTCATTTTAATGTATTTTTAATCTTTGTTGGAAGCTGCCCAGGGTGGCTGGGGAAACCCAGCCAGATGGGCGGGTACAAATAATAATAAATTAAACGGCCTCGGTCCTGTATACCCGAAGGAGCGTCTCTACCCCCATCGTTCAGCCCGGACACTGAGATCCAGTGCCGAGGGCCTTCTGGCGGTTCCCTCATTGCGAGAAGTGAGTCTACAGGGAACCAGGCAGAGGGCCTTCTCGGTAGTGGCACCCACCCTGTGGAACGCCCTCCCATCAGATGTCAAGGAGATAAACAACTACCTGACATTCAGAAGACATCTGAAGGCAGCCCTGTTCAGGGAAGTTTTTAATATTTAACGCTGTACTGTTTTTAACACTTGATTGGGAACCGCCCAGAGTGGCTGGGGAAACTCAGCCAGATGGGCAGGGTATAAATAAATTATTATTATTATTATTATTATTATTATTATTATTATTTAGCCCAACCCTCTGCAATGCAGGACCCTAGAGCAGGGTGGTGGGGCAGGAACCTGGCCTGTTCCTCAGCTGTCCCCTCCACCCATACAGTGGTACCTTGCTTCTCAAACGCCTTGGTACTCAAACAACTTCGAACCCAAACACTGCAAACCTGGAAGTAAGTGTTCTGGTTTGCGAACTTTTCTTGGAAGCCAAACATGCTCTGTTTTGAGTGCCACGCTTCCGTTTCAAGTGTTACGCTGAGGCCTGTCTGTTTTTGCTATTTATTTTGCATTTTTGTTTTTGCGGCTCTTTTCGTTTTGTTTTTGTGACTGTGTGGAACCCAGTTCAGCTACTGATTGATTGATTGATTGATTGATTGTGTGACTACAGTACATTGTTTATTGCTTTCCTTTTATGGACCAATGGTCCCGTTAGATGGTAAAATTCATGTTAAATTGCTGTTTTGGGGGTTGCTTTTAAAAGTCTGGAACGGATTAATCCATTTTGCATTACTTTGTATGGGAAAGCGTGCCTTGGGTTTTGGAACGGACTTCCGGAACGGATTAAGTTTGAGAACCAAGGTACTGCACTGTACATGGAAAGATATGCTGGCTGAGTGACTGAGGGTACAATTTAATGGGTGAGGGATCATGTCGCTCTCATTACCGGGAGCATTTGAAACATGATGCCACCCCAACTTGATGAAGTATTCATGATCCCTTTGGGCTACAGCAGAGGGGAGCTGGAGCTGCCCAGTGGTTAAGACCAGCTGCGGAGGATAACCAGCAGATCTCTTGCCAACTTACGAGGGACGTCTCCGTGTCGTCAGATTCCAAATGTACGGTAGGAACCAAATCTGGTTGACTTTGTACCACTTCTCTGTCTCCCCTGCATCGGCAGTGTCTTTTGTTCGATAAACGAGCTTACTTTCAGCAGGCTCTTCTTAGTGCCCTACCTCTACAAATTACCTTCTTGCTTCCCTCTAATTTTCCTCCAGTCTGACCAGTTCATGTCTGCAGCCTGCAGGTAGTTCCACTGTTCGGTTCCATATGGCTTTGTTTCCTTTCAGTTCAGCGGCCAAGAACCTCAGGCCCATGCGGCCCCTGGCCCCTCAATTTGGCCCTTGGGACTCTCCATAGGCCACACCCCTCTGCAAGCCACACCCCTTGACAGCCCAGCTCAGCAGAACCGCTGACCTTCCAACCGGCAAGCCCTAGGCTCTGTGGTTTAGACCACAGTGCCACCCGCGTCCCTAGCTTAGTGGGCAAAGGCAAAGGGACCCTGGACCATTAGGTCCAGTCATGGCCGACTCTGGAGTTGCGGCGCTCATCTCGCTTTATTGGCTGAGGAAGCCGGCACCCAGCTTCCGAGTCATGTGGCCAGCATGACTAAGCCGCTTCTGGCGAACCAGAGCAGCGCATGAAAACACCGTTTACCTTCCTGCTGGAGCGGTACCTATTTATCTACTTGTACTTTGACGTGCTTTTGAACTGCTAGGTTGGCAGGAGCAGGGACCGAGGAACGGGAGCTCACCCCGTCACGGGGATTTGAACCACTGACCTTCTGATCGGCAAGTCCTAGGCTCTGTGGTTTAACCCACAGCGCCACCCACCTCCATAACTCAGTGGGTAAAAAGGTAAAGGTACCCCTGCCCGTACGGGCCAGTCTTGCCAGACTCTAGGGTTGTGCGCTCATCTCACTCTAGAGGCTGAGAGCCAGCGCTGTCCGCAGACACTTCCGGGTCACGTGGCCAGCGTGACAAGCTGCATCTGGCGAGCCAACGCAGCACACGGAACACCGTTTACCTTCCCGCTAGTAAGCGGTCCCTATTTATCTACTTGCACCCGGGGGTGCTTTCGAACTGCTAGGTTGGCAGGAGCTGGGACCGAGCAACGGGAGCTCACCCCGTCACGGGGATTCGAACCACTGACCTTCTGATCGGCAAGTCCTAGGCTCTGTGGTTTAACCCACAGCGCCACCCGCGTCAGTGGGTAGAGACTCTTAATTTCTGGGTCATGGGTTTGAGCCCCACACTTAGCAAAAGATTCCTGCATTGCAAGGGGTTGGAACTCTACAATTCTATGACCCCCCCCCCGAAATGTATGGCCGGGGGTCTGAACCCAGATGGCCCCACACCATGCTGCCTCTCTCTCCCCACAGGTGAGCAGACATGCTTTCGCCCGGCTGGTGAGAAGCAGGCTGCCACACCAGCCCCATGGAGAATCCCACGCCGGAGACATTCGTGGATGTGGACAAGGGGATCTGCATCGGCTTCCTCTCGCTCATGTGCTTCTTCCTGATGCTCATGATGGTGCGCTGCGCAAAGCTCATTGTGGACCCCTACACCGCCATCCCCACCTCGACTTGGGAGGAGGAGCAGCTTGACTGACAGCGTCCATCAGCACGCAGCAGCCCCCGTGATGGGGACAGACAAGGTGGAGGTGGAAAATGAGGGTGGAAGGAAAGCAAATGCTTAATCCTTACTCTTGGTTCCTCCGCTGCTGGACTGGACCATCTGGATTCCTTCCAACTCTATGATCCTTGGATTCCATGATTCTCATAGTAGTTCTCCCCCGTTCCATGAAGCAGTGGAAAGCTCAGGACAAAATGCACTGTCTGATGTCAGATCCACGCCAGACATTGAAAGCACGACTTTCCCAAAGAATTCTAGGAAACTGCCATTCCTCCTCCTCTCAGAGCTACAATTTCCAGCCCCCTGAACAAACTACAGTTCCCAGGATCCTTTGGAGGAATTCATGGTTTTTTAAAAAATGTGCGTTGAGTGTTCTTTAAATGTACAGTGTGGATCTGCCCTCTGGCTGATTTGGTTCCCAGACAGATTCCCAGCATGGGTTGCAATCAAATACAGTGGTACCTCAGGTTAAGAACTTAATTCGTTCCGGAGGTCCGTACTGTACTTAACATGAAACTGTTCTTAACCTGAAGCATCACTTTAGCTAATGGGGCCTCCTGCTGCTGCCATGCCGCCGGAGCCTGGTTTCTGTTCTCATCCTGAAGCAAAGTTCTTAACCTGAAGCACGATTTCTGGGTTAGCAGAGTCTGTAACCTGAAGCATATGTAACCAGGGGTACCACTGTATACAACTGTAAATCAGTATACAGTGGTACCTCGGATTACAAACAGTTCAGGTTACAAATACTTCGGGTTACAGACTCTGCTAACCTGGAAGTAGTACCTCAGGTTGAGAACAGAAATTGTGCGGCAGCAGCAGGAGGCCCCATTAGCTAAACTGGTACCTCAGGTTAAGAACGGTTTCGGGTCAAGAACGGACCTCTGGAATGAATTACGTTCGTAACCCGAGGTACCACTGTACAATCATAAAACCTACTTGCAAGAGAGGAAGAGCCACTCCAGAACTGTCCTCCAGGAACCTGCAGGAAGTAAAACAGTTCCACTTTCCTGGTTTCATGGATATGAAAACAATTAAAAGCCGTTGTGTGTGTAAAAAAGGTAAAGGGACCCCTGACCATTAGGTCCAGTCGTGACCGACTCTGGGGTTGTGGCGCTCATCTCGCTTTACTGGCCGAGGGAAACTATTAAAAAACTATTCTAAATGTATAAACAGTTGAAAAATAGTTCTGATACGCATGCGGCCTGGGAGAAAGACTTCCACTTTAAAGTCTTGTCAAAATGTTTGGAAACGGTTTCGGTCCTTTTGAGGATGGTGGTGAGAGCATATGGCAGTCTTTGCCAACCTAGTGTGACTGGGCAAATTCATGAATGGTAAGGTTATCAATGGCGACGAGCCACAAATCCCAGTTAGAAATAATAGGGAGAAAGAGAGGGTGCTGTTATGCTCAGGTCCTGTTCGTGAGTTTGCCACAGGCATCTGGCTGGCCATTAAGAGAATTAGAATTCAGCTCTTCTTCTGTCCTTCGGGGGAACCTCCAGGTCCAGAGGCAGTCTATCTAGATTCCTAGATTCTTTGGGACCTTCTGCTTGCCAAGCAAGTGCTCTACCTGGAGCGACGGTTCCTGAAATATAAATGAAGATTCCAGTCCTCATGATTCTGAATAAAGGGCTGATTTAATGGGAACACGGAATGCTGCCTTATAGCAAGCCAGACACCCACCAGTTGTGGTTCAAAACAGCCATGCTATCTGGGTGGGCTGGTGGGAGTTGTAGTACAAAACACCTCGAGGGCGCCGGGTTGGAGGCTGAGATACAAATCCATGCCGAGCGCAGAGTTCAAGGCCTCCGACACTGCTGAAAAGTGCCCTAATGTTATCCAAGGCAGCCCCTCATTGCAGTTCCCACGATCCTTAGAAAGTGAAACGATGCTTGTTTCCTTTGGAGTAAACTTGCGTCGCCTTGTGCTGTAAGAAAGCTCAGGAGGTTAGGCTATACTGGCTGGTTTTTCTTCCTTTCATGTCAAAGGGGGAGCGAGGTGGGGGAGCAAAACCCTCACTTTTGTCCAAAATGCTGCGAAATGCTCTCATGCTGTGAAAAGTGCAGCAGAATGAATGGAGAGCTTCTGTAGACATGGATTGGTTCTCTTGGAAGAAAATTATTATTTTGACTGCTGGTCCTGAAGGGTTTTCATTCATTCATTCATTCATTCATTCAGGATACCGCCCTTCACCCGCAGATTTACAGCTTCCCTCTTGGTGTGAAACTGCTCGCATGTATATTCATATCTACCTCACCCACCCACCGAAAACAAACCTGATTATGTTAATATAAAATTAAATTCCTACCTAAAAAGTCACACTTCTTGACTCTGGGGTGATTTATGTTTTCCTGTTCATTTTTTGCATCTTGAGATACCTGGAGAAAAGGAGGGTGGGGCCGCTTAAATCATCATCATCACGGGATTGGGTCGATGGGTTTTATTTTTTAAATAAAAGTGGCAGAAATCCCAGTTAAGAGTTGAAGTGGGGAAAATAGGCCACTGGCCCTTTAAAAGAAAAAAGAAGCGCAACGCCTATGGCGCATGCGCATTTCCGCCTCCTGCTTCCCAACTGAGCATCCGAAGCCGTCTTCCTCCCTATGCAAGTGCTATTGCTGCGCTACGCATGCGCGCTGAGCCCAAACCGCGGTGGGGACCTCTTTCTTGAGGCGCATGCGTAGTCGCGAGAAGCTTCCCAGCCGCTCCCTCGCGATCTCCTCCCACCAACCGCCTTCCAGCGACGCATGCGCACAGCTGCTGGTCGGCCGCTCGGTGGGTGTGGCCTAAAAGAAACAGCCTCGGGCTATGCGAAGAGGCCCCGCCCCCGGAAGCACGTTGAGCGGGCTTCCGGTCCTTCCTAAAGTGCCCTCTCCTAGAGGCTGAGTTGGTTCCAAGGAAAATAATTCCCCCCCTTTTCTTTGGCCCCTCGGGGGGGAGGGGGAGAGGTAGGTATGGGGGGGCTGGAGCTTTGGGAAGGGGGGGTAGAAAGGGGGGAGGGGCCTGTCTGTCAGGCAAGGGGAGGGACTTTATTATTTGGGGGGGTGAGTAGGAAGGGGATGAAATGAGGGGAACAGAATTGGGGGGGGGCCCTGAATGTGAAGACTGGTGCAGGCCTTCAAAGGTTGGTAGGGGGCAGGATTTGGAGTGGGGGCTGCAGATTGAGGGGGTGAATTTGGGGGTGGGGGTCTTGAATGGTGAGACTGGTGCAGGCCTTCAAAGGTGGGCAGGGGGCAGGATTTGGGGTGGGGGCTGCAGATTGGGGGGGTAAATTTGGGGGTGGGGGTCTTGAATGGTGAGACTGGTGCAGGCCTTCAAAGGTGGGCAGGGGGCTGGATTTGGGGTGGGTGCTGCAGATTGGGGGTTGAATTTGGGGGTGGGGGGTCTTGAATGGTGAGACTGGTGCAGGCCTTCAAAGGTGGGCAGGGGGCAGGATTTGGGGTGGGGGCTGCAGATTGGGGGGGTAAATTTGGGGGTGGGGGTCTTGAATGGTGAGACTGGTGCAGGCCTTCAAAGGTTGGTAGGGGGCTGGATTTGGGGGGGGGCTGCAGATTGGGGTGAATTTGGGGGTGGGGGTCTTGAATGGTGAGACTGGTGCAGGCCTTCAAAGGTGGGCAGGGGGCAGGATTTGGGGTGGGGGCTGCAGATTGGGGGGGTAAATTTGGGGGTGGGGGTCTTGAATGGTGAGACTGGTGCAGGCCTTCAAAGGTGGGCAGGGGGCTGGATTTGGGGTGGGTGCTGCAGATTGGGGGTTGAATTTGGGGGTGGGGGTCTTGAATGGTGAGACTGGTGCAGGCCTTCAAAGGTGAGTGGGACAGACTGAACTTGGGGGTTTGTGAGGGCTACAAATTGTGGAGAGGGCTTGACTTGGGGGGCGCCCTTCTGTTAGAGGTGCAGGTTGTTGGGGAAAGACGTTGGCATGCTCACGAAAGCCAAAGGGGTTTAGGGAGAGGCCGGATTTGAGAAGGGATGGTCGACATCTAGGTGGGAGTGGGTGTCTCTTTTGGAGGCATGTTTGTGTGCGAAAGAGGGAGGCTGAATAAGAGAGGGGTTGAATAGGGGTGCATCTCTCTTAGAGGGTATATTGCTGGGGCAAGGCTGTTGCATCTGTTTAGGGCTAAATGGCATGGGGGGGTAAGAGTAGGTGGAATTGCTTGTGAGGGAGGAAAGGGCCAGCCCAGGGGACCATTACTCTTGTTGTTGTTTAGTCGTTTAGTCGTGTCCGCCTCTTCGTGATCCCCTGGACCAGAGCACATCAGGCCCTCCTGTCTTCCACTGCCTCCCACAGTTTGGTCAAACTCATGCTGGTAGCTTCGAGAACACTGTCCCACCATCTCGTCCTCTGTCGTCCCCTTTTCCTTGTGCCCTCCATCTTTCCCAGCATCAGGGTCTTTTCCAGGGAGTCTTCTCTTCTCCTGAGGTGGCCAAAGTCTTGGAGCCTCAGCTTCAGGATCTGTCCTTCCAGTGAGCACTCAGGGCTGATTTCCTTCAGAATGGAGAGGTTTGATCTTCTTGCAGTCCATGGGACTCTCAAGAGTCTCCTCCAGCACCAGAATTCAAAAGCATCCGTTCTTTGGCGATCAGCCTTCTGGATGGTCCAGCTCTCACTACTGGGAAAACCGTAGCTTTTACTATACGGACCTTTGTTGGCAAGGTGATGTCTCTGCTTTTTAAGATGCTGTCTAGGTTTGTCATTGCTTTTCTCCCAAGAAGCAGGCGTCTTTTAATTTTGTGACTTTTAATTTCATGTCTTTTAATTTTGATACTCTTAGAGCAGAGGAACTTCCCAGGAAGGAAAGCTTCCTGCATCAGAATGTGAATAGCTGGAAGAGACATGGAGCTTGAATGTGGAGAATACTTGGATCCCTTAGTGGGGGGGGGAAATGTGTGAGCTGTTCCAAAGGGATGTGATCCCCTAAAGAGAACAGGGGGCTGTGTTTGAGGGATAGGTAAAGGTAAAGGGACCCCTGACCATTAGGTCCAGTTGTGGCCAACTCTGGGGTTGCGACGCTCATCTCGCTTTACTGGCCGAGGGAGCTGGTGTACAGCTTCCAGGTCATGTAGCCAGCATGACTAAGCCGCTTCTGGCGAACCAGAGCAGCGCATGGAAATGCCGTTTACCTTCCCGCCGGAACGGTACCTATTTATCTACTTGCCCTTTGACGTGCTTTTGAACTGCTAGGTTGGCAGGAGCAGGGACCGAGCAATGGGAGCTCACCCTGTTGCGGGGATTCGAACCGCCGACCTTCTGATCGGCAAGTCCTAGGCTCTGTGGTTTAACCCACAGCACCACCCGTGTCCCTCCGTGTTTGAGGGATACATGGGTCTATTAATGTCGTTAATATTTTCCAGGATAAGCATCTTATGTAGGTAATTGTTTAAAATATTTTCTGGTTTTAAACTTCAGTTCTTTAAGAACGTAAGAAGGCCTTTGACCATCTAGTGCAGCGTCCGGTTCTCACAGTGTCCAACCAGATGCCTGTGGGAA